TTGTATAAAAATTGTTGAATTGCTGAACTCAACATTATCAAGCTGCAGACCAAATATTAAATCATTCCCTTTCTGTTTCATACAAGCCAAGAAAACTTTGTGACGAAAGTTTCCTACCCAAGGTCTTTCAGATGGAGGGTGTCTAGCGGTTTCTAGACCTGCTTTTGCCTTCAGCGATGCAGATAAATACATTCAAAGTACATGTATCATCAATTAAAAAGTGACTGTATAATATAGTAGAAAATATGATTTAAAAAAAATCTCACTATAATTTAAGAGACTAACATATGATCTCAACACTTATGTTAAATACCTGTTGATATATGGATTTTTATGCTGATACAGCATAAAGCAAACAACAATCACAATCATTCCTGCCTGAGACAAATATTGCAGAATGTATATGTACGGATGCTAGTTTGCCAGTAATGTAAGCTTATTTTCATATTTGAGATAATAGAAGTTAATTTTGTGATTATGGTCTGAAGTGTCTGTCTGGCATATGTCTGTTTTCCTGGTTCTATAAACTCATAAAAAAGATAAACTGCCAATCCAATAACCCAGGAGGAAATTAAAGCTCGACATGATATAAATACTTAGTCCTTCAGGGTTTTGTTGTTGCCCGATTACTGTCACATCAATTTTTATACGACTGCAAAAAAATTTTGTGGTCGTATATTGGTATGACGTCGTCGTCGTTGTCGTCGTCGTCCGAAGACACATTGGTTTTCGCACTCTAACTTTAGTTTAAGTGAATGGATCTTTTTGAAATTTTACCATAAGGTTAAATACCACAAAAGGAAGGTTGGGATTGATTTTGGGGGTTATGGTATCAACAGTTAAGGAATTAGGGGCCAAAAAGGGGCCAAAAATAAGCATTTTCTAGTTTCCAGACAATAACTGTGGAACGGTGTATGGATCTCTCTGAAATTATACTACAAGTTTCCATACCACTAAGGGATGGTTAGGATTTGCTTTGGGGGGTTATGGCTCAAACCGTTTAGGAATTAGGGGCAAAAAAGGGGGTAAACAAGGTTGTCCTGGTTAATGGACAAATACTTTAGTACAAAACATAATTTAAAGCAGTGTAAGGGAGATAAATCAAATACATCATTGAAATTATCTCCCTTACACTGCTTTTAAATTATGTATAAAGTAATGGTTAATGAACAATAAAGATAATTTAAAACAGTGTAAGGGAGGTAATCCAAATACAACGTTTTGGTTACTTCCCTTACACTGCTTTTAAATTATGTTTAAAGAAATGCATATTTATAAAGGAAGACCAGTAAAAATATCTTCAAATGTTGCATCTTTTTTTATTACAAAAAAATCCATATGAAAGATTTGATACTATATTTTTAATTCTATTATAAAATAGATTAAGTTAGCACTATGGTAAATTTAAATGGGTAATTATGGTTGCCAACTCCATTGGAAATTTGAATTGAGATTATGACCATATCTTGTGGGAAAGAATTTTTTGGGGAAAAAAAGGGGGGGGGGGGGATAAAAAGAAATTGTGGGGGGTCAATTTTTTCTCATTTCAGATTTCAGAAATTAAAAAGAATTATTCTTCAAATATTTTTTTTTTTTCAAATTTCAAATATTGAAAAATTTCAAGAAGTAATCTTTGATTGCACAGTATGGTGCATTAGATTTGTAAAATCTTTGATCACATTTATTTATTTGTTATGCCGAATCTAACAGTGTATTTAGATTTTTAATTTTGGGTCCAGTTTTCAAATTGGTCTACATTAAGGTCCAAAGGGTCCAAAATTAAACTTTGTTTGATTTTAGCAAAAATTGAATATATGAGGTTCTTTGATATGCTGAATCTAAACATGTATTTAAATTTTGGATTTTTGGCCCAGTTTTCAAGTTGGTCCAAGACAGGGTCCAGTATTTAAACTTTGTTTGATTTCAACAAAAATTGAATTCTTGGGGTTCTTTGATATGCTGAATCTAAACATGTATTTAGATTTTAGATTATTGGCCCAGTTTTCAAGTTGGTCCAAATTGGGGTCCAAAATTAAACTTTGTTTGATTTCAACAAAAATTGAATATATGAGGTTCTTTGATATGCTGAATCTAACCATGTATTTAGATTTTTTATTTGTGGACCCCGCTATCAAATTGGTTCATATTGAGGTCAAAAGGGTCCAAAATTAAACTTTGTTTGATTTCATCAAAAATTGAATTATTGGGGTTCTTTGATATGCCAAATCTAACCATGTTTTTAGATTTTTAATTTGGGTCCCGTTTTTTAAATTGGTCTTCATTAAGGTCCAAAGGGTCCAAAATTAAACTTAGTTTGATTTTAGCAAAAATTGAATTCTTGGGGTTCTTTGATATGCTGAATCTAAACATGTGTTTAGATTTTTGATTATGGGACCAGTTTTCAAGTTGGTCCAAGTTGGGGTCCAAAATTAAACTTTTTTTGATTTCAACAAAAAATGAATATATGGGGTTCTTTGATATGCTGGATCTAACCATGAATTTAGATTTTTTATTTGTGGGCCCTGCTATGGAATTGGTTCATATTGAGGTCAAAAGGGTCCAAAATTAAACTTTGTTTGAATTCATCAAAAATTGAATTATTGGGGTTCTTTGATATTCCAAATCTAACAGTGTATTTAGATTTTTAATTTTGGGTCCCGTTTTTTAAATTGGTCTACATTAAGGCCCAAAGGGTCCAAAATTAAACTTAGTTTGATTTTGGCAAAAATTGAATTCTTGGGGTTCTTTGATATGCTGAATCTAAACATGTGTTTAGATTTTTTATTATGGGCCCAATTTTCAAGTTTGTCCAAGTTGGGGTTCAAAATTAAACTTTGTTTGATTTTAACAAAAATTGAATATATGGGGTTCTTTGATATGCTGAATCTAACCATGTATTTTGATTTTGGACATTGGACCATAATAGGTAAATTAAAAAAATTCAAGTTCTTAGACCACATTCTTTCTGTGTCAGAAACCTATGCTGTGTCAAATATTTAATAACAATCCAAATTCAGAGCTGTATCAACCTTAAATGTTGTGTCCATACTTGCCCCAACTGTTCAGGGTTCGACCTCTGCGGTCGTATCAAGCTGCGCCCAGCAAAGCATTTTATTACCTCATGTCAAATAGCTCTTTCTTTAATGAAAATTTTAAAATGGTGGCCCCAGATGACTTTTTTGAGTGAATTGGTTACTTTAAATTTAGAATTTTGCATAGAATAATTATTGTGATTTCAGGAAATGCTTTACACAACTATCAAGTTGTAATTTTTGCAATAACATCATTGAAAAAATTGAGAAATTCCATAGTAATAGGTTTTCTTTATAATTTCTGGTTGATGTTCACAAAAAATCTACCTTTTTTTTCATATCAAATTCTGTTATTTCATGATGAAATAAATGTGGATAGTGTCCACATGTGGACACAGATGATGCCCCCTCTTGCATATCATATAGTTATAAAGGGACATAACTGAAGAACAGTAAAAGTGACGCTACCCAAATTTGAACTTGATCTGAGTTTTGTGTGTAAGTCTCATAACATTTGGTTGAGGCTAACTTAAGTAGAGAACAGAAACTAAAAATTCAGCAATTTTTCTATTTATAAAGGGGCATAACTCAATAATGGTTAAAGTGACACTAACCAAATTCAACTTGATCTGTGTTTTATCAGTGGAAGTCAAAAATAAACATTGCATCGTATAAAGCATTCATTGTAGTTGATTCAACTATAATCATGGACAAAGGAAGATAACTCCAACTTTAAAAATAACTTGATATTTAGAAGAAAATAAAAATTTTGCAATTTTTTCCATTTATAAAGGGGCATAACTCTAGAAAGGTTAAAGTGACGCCACCAAAATTCAAACTTGGTCTGTGTTTTGTGGTAATAAGCATTGTGTAAAAGTTTCATAACATTTGGTTGAGGCAAACTTAAGTTAGAGAACGGAAACTAAAAATTTTGCAATTTTTCCATTTATAAGGGGCACAACTCTAGAACGGTTAAAGTGACGCCACCAAAATTCATACTTGATCTGCGTTTTGTGGTAATAAGCCTTGTGTATAAGTTTCATAACGTTTGGTTGAGGCAAACTTAAGTTAGAGGACGGAAACTAAAAATTTTGCAATTTTTCCATTTATAAAGGGGCATAACTCTAGAACGGTTAAAGTGAGGCCACCAAAATTCATACTTGATCTGTGTTTTGTAGGTAATAAGCCTTGTGTATAAGTTTCATAACATTTGGTTGAGGCTAACTTAAGTAAGAGAACGGAAACTAAAAATTTTGCAATTTTTCCATTTATAAATGGGCATAACTCTAGAACGGTTAAAGTGACGCCACCAAAATTCAAACTTGATCTGTGTTTTGTGGTAATAAGCCTTGTGTATAAGTTTCATAACATTTGGTTGAGGCAAACTCAAGTTAGAGAACGGAAACCAATTTTGGGACGTACGGACGGACGTACGTACGTACAGACGGACAAGGGTAAAACTTAATGGCCCCACTGCTACGGCGGGGGCATAAAAATAATTTATATTCAATGAGTCAAGTCTTTTTTCCTGTACATCAGATTTAATTTAAGGGGAAAATGTACTTTTTGCAAATTGAACTGTACTGATAAAGAACACAAGTTTGTGCTATGACTTTAAATCAAGAGACAAAAGAAATGCAAGTCACACTGTTACAGCATATTGAGATACATATACTTTGCTGGAAGGGAGAGAACTCTTGTGATTGTAAATATCTAGGGCTTTGTCAGTGGTTGTTTTTTTTGTAACATGTTAATGTATTGACAGGGAATTGTGGGCGATTGTCAGATCTTTCATAGTCTGTTAAATTTATTCACAACTTTTTTTTAGCTTATGGGTGATTTAGATTTTGACTTACGATATAAACACTTTTCTATTTGTTATGAAATTTTGTTGACCTCTTGACTGTTTTTTGTACGGAAGAAATATGGGATGGTAGCAGCAGTACCACCAAATTTACAAGTAAAGCAAATTTTTCTTAGATTTATTGTAAAATTATAAAAAAAATAATAGATAATACTAGCATTTTGGTTCAAGATTAGTTTAAAAATTCTTATATACTTTTATAATAATGTTTACTACCCAATCACGAAATTTCTAAATACATGACTTGGTAAAATTCTCTAGTTCTATTGCAAATATGAATAATCTTAAAATCAATCACAAATAATAATATTATTAAGAATATCTTGTACTGATTTTTCATATCACATTTATACATCTGTAGATAAATTAGATATCTTAGACCTTAAAATCAATCAATTATTTTATGCAGGTCTCTTTCAACCCATGATGAAAGAATATCTGCCATTTGTTGACTTCCTTCCAAAACAAATGCATGGTCATGATCATCTGTACATAAACGAGTGTCTGCATGTGGAAATTTCTTTTTGAATTCATAATAATAAGACTTTGGACACCAGTGATCGTCAGAACCATAATAAAAACTAATTTTCGACAAATGTCTCTTAATCAAATCTTCATCAAGTTTTTTCACTTTCTGCATTTCCATGTTTGCCATGTACATAACATTGCTAACACAAAATGAATCGAATAAGGACATAGAGGCATTATAAATACAATCTGGAACAGTCTTGCCTCGGAAATACCATAAAATCAACCTAAATTGCATATGTGGTGAAAGATATGAGAGTCCTTGCACAATTAATGCTCCTAGCCATCTTAAATATTTGAGTAAAGGTGTCGCCACTTGTCCTTTTGGTGATTCCGCCATTCTTTCTATTGTTGGAAACAACATGAAACATCGTAAAACCTGGTGATCAAGATCATCTAATAGTTTTAAAATCATATAACATCCAATGGAATGACCAATCAGAACAAGTTTTACATTTGTTGGAATGTTGTCTTTTATAAATGTAAGCTTGTGTTTGATTTGTCCTTCCAATGAGCAGACACTGTATGATGCTTTTTCTGCAAAAAGAAAAAATAATATTAAGGCAATGTGTAAGTTTCAGAATTATCAATCTTGACAAAAGTTAAACATTATTATTGATGAAATTCTGATAAATAATAATAATTCAGAAAAATTCTGTGGCAATGGACACAAATGTTGGATTAATAATTGCAACTTCAAGAAATGCTGCATACGAAATAGTGATATCAAAATTTTAAAATATTGGTTTTTATAGGAGAAACCTATCCCAAAGCAATTTTCACAAATCAATAATAAAAACATTAAAAATGTTTCTGAATTTACAGTATCTATAATTTTGCAAAACGAACTTCCAAATATTGAAATGTAGAAGAAGGGAGTTCAACACACTAATGAGCTATAATGAACAAGGTGAGTTTGAACTCCCTCTTGTGGCGAGGTTTGTTTGATTTTATCTAGGTGGTTTTCTCCCTGTACTTGTTCTTCCTCAAGCAATATTACTGGATGCCATAATATAGCCACAGTTGCTGAAAGTTGCACTAAAAACCAACCAAAAAACAAACTTTTGTAGCTAACTATACAGTATGGGTTCTTCTCATTGTTGAAGGTTGTACGGTAACCTATCAGTGCTATATCTTTGTCATTTGAACTCTGGTGCCTGGTGGATATTCATTAAATCTACAAATTGGTAAATGATGATGATGGATTGGTTTTTAACATCCAGTGGCAAATATTACATGTATACAAGGACCAAAACTAACATGATTATCAATTAGATATGAATATGAACCCTGCTTCAGTCACTGACACCAGTGTAACCAGATTCTGGAATTTCTAGTTAACAATGTAACAGTCTGCAGGAAGACATGTCACCCTACCAGGACAAACAATTCTGACACTGAGGGGACAAGTCTCTGTTCATATTTCTAAATGCTGTGTGATTGTCGAAGAAGCAACAAATAACAATTTTCAAGTCTTTAGGGATCTAATCCTCGACCTCCGTCACTGATAAATGAATCTGATGATACATGTTATTGATTAACATGAATAACTATATGTGCCAGGTCTATTATTTTTCTTTTCATCTTTTTTCTTTTTGATGCTATTTGTCTTTCTTCAATATCTATTCAGCAGGGCTGCCAAGTCTCATGCATTTAGCGTGAGACTTACGCATTTTCATGATTATCTGGCGGCATTTTCCTTTGATCTATTGTTTTTTCTCTTTGATCTTTACGATTTTGGCCAAATCTCACGCATTTGCATTATTAAAAGTTGGCAGAACTGCTATTGCCATCCTTTCATATCTTCTATATTTTTTTATATTCCCAGACTGAACCTACCTATAGCTAAGTTATCTGCAGATTTTGGTATTGACACATGTCCTGCATGAGAAATAGTCCAGACTGGGATGGTATATTTACTATTCTGATAGAGAACTCTCATAAACTCATCATAATACTCAGCTATACCAGGATTTCCTAAAAAAAAATCATAGAGAATTTTGGTGATGATGATGAGGAATGGCTGATTAATGTCCAGTGGAAAATTAATGAATGGCTGTTTAAAGTTAAATGAATATTCTGGACAAAAACAGGTTAATGATATTAATTATGCTTTGTATAAGACTAACATGCTGAGCTGAATTTTTAATATGCTAGTCAACAAAATAACAGTTTGATGGAAGATATGTCAACTGAATCACCTTGCATTTTCTTTATGTGCTTTGTATATGATGTATGCAAAAAGTATTATCAGTGTCTTCATTTTTTATAACTTAGTATGCAAGACGAAGGCATCTTTAAATAACAACATTTTTAAAGATGACAAAATTTAAGCAACTAAGCAACTATTGATGTGTATTTCTAATCCCAATTGGCTTTAAGGGTGTTTCATACTTTAAGATGTTACCCAATGGGCTGTGATTTTGTAATTAATGCATGCTCTATCAACATGATCAACTTAAACTAGATTTTATGCTTGTTCTTATCTTAGTAGTGTTTGTAAATTGAAATCAGAGAAAAATAGCAATTTTTGAGGAGTTAACTGCCCTTTTTTTTTAACACAAACAATACAGAGCTGTTTGAGGTAAACAAAATCTGAAATTGCAGAAATATAACTACGCATTGTTCATTATTTTCTTTTAACATGTTTAAAGATTTGGAACAACTTTGGAACAACTAGATATCATTGAGATGGGAGCCATCTCTGTGGGCCCCGCTGTGAATAATGTGTGGTAAAAAATTTGTATCTTTATCATTGGACATGGGGTTGTCAACTAAAAACAAAGTTTTTGACCTTGACCTTTGACCTAGGAAGTTGCACATACATTATGACACACCCTCTGGTGTTGGTTAATATACATGTCAAGTATAATCTTTGAAATCATAACGGTTCTCTAGATATAGAGCGGACACAATTTGTTACGGACGGACGGACAGACTGATCACTATAGGGCCTCCGCCATTCGTAAAAAATCGCCTAAAAATCTAAAACATCTGTGTCTTCCAAAAAACTGCCACAGACAGAACTGTTTTCCTTTCAGCCTAGAACTTGTGCATTTGAAGTTTTAATTTTAGCCCTTTGACCATGTTGGCGTCTGTATTTCAAGTTCAGGAGGTTAAGAAATAGGACTAAAAATAGTCAAAATTTATAAATTATTGGGGTGAAAACCTCATGGTATTTAAGATTGTTGATGTGTTTGGTTTTTTTCTCTATGAATAAAAGGAGATGTAACATGTAAAGAGATGTCTTTGAGACAGCAACCAATAAAAAGGCACCAGTAAAACCATGTGTACTGTTGCAACTTACATAGAAATAGTTCTGCTATGTTACCTGGTATAATGAGAAATATAACTCCTGACTGTCCTATAGTTCCATACTTCAGAATGTGTGTTGGCATACCAAGTATATGCACAAGTTCACTTTTTCTATGTATATCTTCCATTCTGTATACTTTTAAATCTGAAAATTCACAGGAATGTATGTCTTAAGGAAATTTTTGTTTGTTACGAACAGTTTAAAAAATTTCTGAGTAAAAATAAATCAACTATAGTATCAATATTCTCAATTAAATCTTGAAAACAAGTTTTAAGGGTTCAGCTTCAGACATAATGGTAGAGATCACATGAATGGTTGATTAATTCAAGACACACTACAACTTTACTCACAGCAAAGTAGTAGTGCTAATGAAATGATGGTATTCATTATCTCAGAGTTAAAGATTCTTCCCTTGACTGTCATGACTATCTGTCTTTTGTTGCTGTATAGCATATTTGTTTTTCGTCTTTTGTTTATTTGTTTAATATAAATCAGGCCATTAGGTTTGTTAGTTTTCTCGTTTGAATTGTTTTACATTTAATAATTTGTCATTTCAGGACCATTTATAGATTACTATGTCAAATATATGTGGGATGGATTTTGCTCATTGTTGAAGGCCATACAGTGACCTATAGTTGTTATTTTCTATGTCATTTGGTCTTTGGTAGTCCAAATAATTGTGACATCTTGAAAGGCTATTTAAATTTTTTGCTGTGACGTCTGCAGCAGAAAGGTGTCACAGCAAACAAATTAAATAGTCTTTCAAGACATCAGATTTATATGGAAACGGTCTTTGGTGGAGAGTTGTCTCATAATTTGGCAATCGTACTACATCTTCTTTTCATTTTTTATGGCACTGGCTAAGCTAAAGTTGAAAACATAACAATATCAAAACAGTAATTGTTACGTTAGACACTAAATGCAGGAATGCATCATTGGGTTAGAAACCGATTAATTACGAACGTAACAATAATATTTGTGTCTATGGTTACTTTGTGTTAAACAATGTATGTTTACCTTGATGCATTTCAATATATGCTGGGGATAGTAATATAGCATGTCCCATATGTATGTAATATACAGTTTACTCTCGTTGTCTCGAACTCGGTTGACTTGAAATTTCAGATGAGTCAAAGTTTTCCAGTGGAAGTGAGTCAAAATTGGACGAGTCGAAATTTCGGTTGACTCGCACAAAATTTATGGTCCAATGGTTAACAAAAGCATTAAAAATTCATTATTTATCTCAAACTCTTACACATATGTCAAAACATGAACTTGGGGATTTAAATGAATGGAGGAGTTAATCTGACAATACACATGATACACATGTAATTAAATTTCCAGTCACTGACCACTGTATCAGCTGTGTATTAATTTATGACATTCTTTTTCCAGGAGTGCTTACCTAAGATCATCTTTGATAACCATGATAAATAATTAGTGATACATTGTTACAGTTTATGAAAAATTGGTTAAAATGTTTTTAAAATAATTAACCGTAATCATACATTAATGAGCTTGGTTGTGTATAAAGCAGGGATTAAGACTTCCATTGGTGATCAACTCAAAACTACTTAATCGGCGTCTTTAACCTTTTTGTATTTTCTGTTGCAGAAAAAGATTGAAATAAAAGAAGATGAAAAGAAATCTAAATTTTCTAAAATACACGCATACATATAACTGTATAAAATTTGAATCTTTCTTTTTTTATTAAAACGCATCCAAACTTTTTAATTTTTAACCCAAAGAAAATTTGGTAATGGAATAACTTCGCCCATTGTTCAAAGTATAATGACAGTAATATGGGTAAGTGTGCGCAGTTAAAAATACATAAAAGTGAACACTTTTCTTCTATTACATACTATTGGAACTACTAAACTGTAGTCAGTCAGGGGTACTACTTGTACAAGTAATCTTTATTTACTTGAAGAAGTAAATAAAATATACTTATATAAGTTAATTATAATGTTTGAATAATCTACCCTTAATTTTCTCAAAAATTTACTTGTATAAGTAAATTTTTTTTACAATCCCACAAAAATTCTCAAGTTTTGAGATGTAAAAACATGCCTAAAACAATTTTTCTCAGGTTAGCTCATAATTTTTGATTAGAGTTCAATGTTTCATCTCATTAATTCAACAAAGAAACTGATTGCGCAAAGATCTTAAGTATATTTGGGGGGGGGGCTTGTAAATGAGCAGTGTTCTGAAGATAACAGACAAATGAGATTTTCATTGTCCATGAAATTACACTTAAATGATTAGTAAAGACATCTGCAAAGGACAGACAATCAAAAATTCTATTAGAGCAAAGAAGTCCTAAGAATTCATGAAAAGAAGATAGGATGACTTTTTACTTGTATAAGTAAAAAAATCTGAATGTTTAAGGGACATAACTAAGCCCATTTTTTTTTTTACCTATACAAGTAAATAAAATACACTTGTATAAGTATCCTACAAATTTACTTATATAAGTATATTAATATTTACTTCTTCAAGTAAATAAAAATTACTTGTACAAGTAGTACCCCTGACTGGTAGTATGATCTTGAAGAACATTAAAACAATTAATACTTAAAAAATTAAATAAACATTACTTGTTGAATAATAATAATAATAATAATAGTTAATAATAATTATCAAGCCTATCAGAGAATTCAGCAACATACATGTAACCTAAAGTGAATTAAAAGTTTAATATGGGGACGAAGTCCCCAATTACAGTAGAAAAATCAATAAAAAAAATCAATCTACTAATGAACTGCAAAATCGTTAACTTTTAATTTTCTAACTTTTTTATTTTCCCGCATTTGCGCAGACATCTCTTTCTTTCTTCCAGTGTCCTTTGTTGTTTTTGATAATTCTTTGATAGGAAAAAAAAACGTAACCTAATAATCGCGTTTCTTTGTTTATATTGAAAATCACGTAACAACTAAAATCCCCAACAACAGGACCAATGTCGGAAACGTTTCCGTATTTCCGTTTCTTATCAACAGATTCTAAAGTTAAAATATGCTTGAATTAAAAAAAATAATGTATACAGACTTCGTCCCCTTTCACAGGTAACGCCTTCCTAATATTAAATCTAACGTAACAATAACGCAACGTAACCGTAGACACACATATTGTAACATTCATAATTAATGGGTTCCTAACCTAACCTAACCTAACCTAGCATTCCGTCAATTAGTGTCCAACGTAACAATAACTTTTTTGTTATTGTTACGTTTCAAAGTAATCATAGCCAGTGCCTTTTTTTTTTTATACTGTCGAATCTACAAGATTCAAGATTTATTATCCAATCATGGCCCCTCAAGGAGCATATACACAAAATACAACAATTTTACAATGATTATCATGGCATAACAAATTCTTAAAGGTACATAATTTTTTAAGTCTTAAGATTGACTAACTATCTGTTACCTAAATCACGTTACAGTTGAACGAGTAAAGGCAAATCTGATTTCATTGCTTGGTTGTTCTCTACAGTCCCTGTCTGTTCCAGGAGAATCAGAATTTGGAAAACGAACTGGTCAAAGTTTAAATCGCATCTATCATTGAAAAATCGTATTAAATTTAATAAAATTGAAGTACTTGCAATATATGTCCTTAATAAGTAGTTTTTACAAGTTCTTAAAATCGTCAAATAATAATAACACCAACAAATATGTTTCTAAAATTCTTATTATTTTCACAGGTGTGAGCGACGAAACCGGTACTTTTTCCGGGAACCTCCACACTAGAGAGTATAGTTATTTTATGCAATGACTTTAGTCTTTATGCAACATGAATTCTATAAGGCAGTTATTTGTTTTCTCAATCAGAAATCCCGTTTTACAGTTTACTGTTAGCCGACAGGTATGTAAAGTTGTATTTTCTAATCGTAGGTATTTTAACAGGTGTAGAAACTTGGACAGTTGTGTAATATTTGATTATACTACATGCCCTTGGTCTTGGGACAGGGGACAGTTTAGCAGATATCATGATTATCTAGACTTACATGAAAACAATGAAATCATTATGTAAACTGGCCACCTGTTGTGTTTACCTATCGCTACACTAACATTATGTACGGCCTAAATCTGACCGTCAGCTTATAATGTGTAATGGGAATGAGTTTTCCTTCTGACTTCGTTGTCTTCCCGTTGTCGACCCAAGTTCTGGGATATTGGACAAGTAACTACGTATATAAACAAGACGTTTATTTTATAGACATATATGGTTTCAGAACACAAGTTTACATACAATAAATATAGTATAAGCATGATAAGTGGCAGCTAGTCTACTTGTTGTATAAATAGAGGTTCCATATATATCTGCAAGCCAAAGTATGAGCGTCTGCTCATTTCAAATCCTAAGCTGTAGACTGCCCAGAACCTGGTGAGTGACATCATACTTATAGTTCCTAGGGACAACAAGCCCGGCCGGGATGTCAGGCACGTGCAAGAAACAGGAAGTCTCGACAAGAATAATTACATGGCCGGTCTCGGGAGACAGAGTTACGAAACTATATATAATACTAATATTAACCAATTTCCCCATATAAGTAGTATAATTAACAAGTAAACAAAGTTACCACCATTACCATACAGTTGCATGATTTATCATTTCGGCAAGATGTGTTTATCATTATCAAGCATTATGTATGGACAGGAACTTCCCCGAAAAAATTAGCACATTCCTATCACTTCTTATTTCTCAAGAATTAAAGTATCTTGATCCTGATCCTAATGTCAAAATTGACACAACTTGTCTCTCTGTTAGTCTGTACTAATTTTTCCTCTATAGTACCCTGTTGCTCATGGTAATTTCTCACAGTACTTTAGAGTATTTGTTTAGGCACAGGATAGGGATTCAGGACTTGCCAGTTCTTGAAATCGCCTTGATCTAGTTATATATTCCCCTACAATTTGAGCTGTTGCTTCATAGGTGACAATATTAATCGTACATATATGTCTGTTGGAATTTTCAGTATTTCCAGCTATCTTCATGATCTGATCATGTCTTCTCTTTCCTGTTGGTGTCTTGGCAGTATATTAAGAAGTGTTCTGTTGTTTCTTCTTTTCTGCATTCACAATATGGCGTGAGGGATTGACCTATTTGGTTTCTGTATTTTAATATTCAATCTGCTGTAGCCTGTTCTCAATTCTGACAATATTCTTCCTATTTGGGTGTTTGGTGTGTCAAGTTGTACATTCCTCCCAACAATAGGCATGATAGGTACTAGATCGAAAAGTTGTCACCCAGTTTCACTAATTGTCCATGTACTTTGCCATTTTAGTTTTGTAGACATCTTGACTGCACTTCTTACATCTGACATAGTTATGACATTAAATTGGTCATTTAGTGATGAGGCCTCCTTTGCAGCATCTTTGGCCAACTGGTCTCATTCCCAGCTATATTATCATGGCCTGGAATCCAAGATAGGGTTGTTAGTATGCCGTGTCTCAAGAGTGTCCCCAAGCTTTCTCTAATGTCTGTTATTTTATCAATGTAGTTTGAAGATTTCCAATTTAGAGTCAAGATGCCTACAGCAGTCTGGCTATCTGATAGTATTTTGACTTCAGAGAACTGGTCCTTAATTGTTGTAATGCAGTGCTCCAGAACCATTAGGATAGCTACAAGTTTGGCAAGTGGTATTGATTCTATGCTAGCTTCTGGCCTCTTTAAGCTGACGCCTTGGCTATTATTAGAATAGACTACCACCCCCTCCCCCTAAACCCCCCCCACATGGATCTGGGTTACCCTGACAAGAGCCGTCAGTGAATGCCACTACTGTTGAGTCTGTGCTGTCTCCTAGTAAGTCCTTTACAACCTGTTTAATTTCGATAGTTTGCTCTGCTGTTCTGCTCTTTGAACTACCTAGTCGACTCCAATAGCTTGGTGCTCTCATCAGCATTATTTAAATATCTGCACCAGTTTTATATGTGAATTCAGGTTCTATAAGTTTGATATCCACCTTTGTAGCTTTGAAAATGTCTATGGATTGGTTTATAGCCTTACCAAATGGTGCATGACTCTTGTTCATAGGTATTGTTGTTGGTTCTAAAGATACTGTTCCAGTTGTTGTTTAATTGCTTAGATCTGCTATGTTCTTAGATTTTTTGCCAATTCATGTACTGAGATTTCTTCTATTCTAATAGCCAGTGAGAAGTTTCTTTTGGAATTTGGCAGCAGTAAAAGATGACTGATAATGTTTCTGACCGTGCGAGACCCTCAGATATTTAGAGATAAAGTTTTGATCCCACGAAAGAAAAATTGATAAATTGATAACAATAGGTTGTTAGGAAATTTCCATGGGAGATAATCAATTTTTCTTTGAAAAGTCTTCTATATTCAAAAGAATAATGTTTTAGGTTATCTCCCATGGAAATTTCCTAACAACGTATTGTTATTTCACATACACAGCTGCACATACATTTTACTGAATATAAGATGTTTTAATTCAAATGGTGTCTGATTCTTATGAGTATAGAAGACTTTTTGAAAGAAAAATTGTATGAAAGCTTAGTTTGGACATTTTTATAGCAATTCAAATTTACTATCTATCACCTTTAGCATGACAATAACAATAAAATTTCTATACAAACTGTTAGAATGATTTTTCATAATAACTTTGAAGTGGAATTAAAGTCTTATAGGATAGTAAGTATGCTTTATTTTATCACCTTGCACTTTCACAACTTGACTGTGGTTTTCTACAGCAGTTTGTTCAAATTTCTGACCAGTTGAAAAGTTTGGTTTTATAAAACAAATTGCAATTTGGTCAGAATTTTGAATAAGTTGCAATAGGTGGAAAGCAACACTTACAGTTAAGTCACAGTAAAATCTAATTTAAAAAAGTTTCATTGGTCATGTTGGTGATTTGTTCGAATACAAGTTGGCAAAAATAATCTTCATGCATATTCAAGCCAAATGCCATTTTAAAAAAGAGGGGTTCATGAACTCTTTTTCAAGTTAAATCCATTTTTGTAAATCAGTCTGAATGATAAAAATCAGTCGAAACATGCATCTTTTCCCGATATGTCACAGTTTAACATTTTACATTAACGATGTCATTACCTCCCCTGTAACTGTATCGTATGCCCTTAAACACCCATTAGTAGTAATGAATATGTAAAAATACTTGTGTTAGGGGTTTTAGATTCCTACCTGCAACAATACAAAGTTCAGGTGTGAACTGCATTATTTTAACCCTAGTTGTCCTGAATGCATTATCAAGATCATGAAAATAGTCTTCAAACATGATATTATGAAAATGTACATTGAAAATTTGTTGGTTCCTAATGGTAGACCAAGGTTCAATACAGTATTTTAATAAAATGTGGTATGATTGCCAGTGAGACAACTCTCCACCACAGACCAAAAGACAAAGAAGTAAACAATAATATATATATCTGGGGTAGGTCACAGTACGGCCTATAACAATAAGTGAAACCCATACTACATATCAAGCCTGGTTGACAAAATCAACACTAGGGATGTTGCATGTATTCTGCCCCAGAGATTTACAGACTGTATAGATAAAGACAATATAAATTTATACTGTATTAGTGAACTGTGACTTTCTTCATTCCTAAGTAGTATTGGCTGGCACTGACTGCAATATAATGTTAAAATTTATGTTAAGACTAGCACAGCAGGAAGTTTTGATAATTTTTATGCCCCACCTACGGTAGTAGAGGGGCCTTATGTTTTTTGGTCTGTGAGTCCGTTCGTTTGTCCGTCTATCCCGCTTCAATTTAAAGTTTTTGGTCAAAGTAGTTTTTGATGAAGTTGAAGTCCAATCAACTTGAAACTTAGTACACATGTTCCCTATGATATGATCTTTCTAATTTTATTGCCAAATTAGTGTTTTGACCCCAGTTTCACGGTCCACTGAACATAGAAAATGATAGTGCGAGTGGGGCATCGCGTACTATGGACACATTCTTGTTGTAAGCTGCATGAGATTGTCTTTAAAAGATGATGATTAAAACTGCAGAATATGACAAAAAAATACGAAAGTGTAAATTGTTTGATCATTGAAAATATAATTGACTATTTCCAGTATTTAGCTAAATCAAAGATAGATAGTTGATCATGTGACCTAATTGTTACAACACTTACATGTTTACTTTACATCTAATTTGATTACCTAATAGGTTAATTTTCTTTCTTTTTCAGTTAAGTAGATACTTTCCTACTATCATTAGTCCACTTTCAAGACCACTAGACCAAACATTCCCAAATCATCAGTGTAGATGTCCAGTTTATTCAGTAAGTACTTGCACAGATATATGAATATATATACATATTCAAGCCTCTTTAGAATACTGTAAATTCCAAAAAAATTGTTTTGTTTTTATTGCAAAAATGGTGACTGGTAAGGGTTTTGCAAAAAATAGATGTAAAATTTACATTTTAATTTTGTTAGTATTATTTATAACCAACATTGTAATAATTTAAAATGTCACATTTCTGTCTACTTTGAACAGTTGTTATAATAAATGCACACCGACATTTCTAAATTAACAATACCCTGTAGTGACCTAAGAGAGGACCAGTTCAAATGGGGTAAATGTACGAATAGACTGGCCTGCCTTTTCTTTTTCTGTTTCGTTCTCACAGATCTATGTAAAAACCAGGTATTCACCAGCCATTTTTTCCCTCCATTTCAACAGATGACATCTAGCATGTTGTCTAGTTTTTATTGAATTGAAATCTGTAACACTAATTTGTCTTCATAGATTTTTGATTGTTACATCATACGTCAGTTCCAAAAAGAATTTTTATTGACACATTTAACCTATAAGATATTACTAAGAAGTCACTTAACAGCATCTTGTATTATTTATTGTTTTGTTTCATGGGTATTCCTGCCATTTGATTTATTTTCTAATTTTTGCACTGTTAAGTAACATGGAAAATAAAGTTTAAATAAAAAAAAGAAAAATAGTGGTTATTTCAACACTGCAATATCTGTCGGAGCAAGATATTGAAAAGATTTATAACTTACTTTTAAGTATGAAATTTCTCATGGATTCAAGCATCTCTCAAAGTTATATTACAGAAATTTCAATAACGGTTTCCATAAATTTAACAAGTCTCTCAGGCATAGTGCTGGCTTTAGTCCTGTTGGCTGAAATAAATTTCAATTGATTTATTGGTGTTTGATGGCACTTTCAGCACTGCTGGCTATTTGGTGGTGGTCAGTTTTTAGCTCACCTGGCCCAAAAAGGTCAAAAAGTTTTATATGACCAAAAGTGTCAAGTGACCCCTTAAGGAGTTATTGCCCTTTAAAGACAATTTTACACAATTTGTTCATCATGTTTGCTAACATTTAAAAATCTTCTCCTCTGAAACTACTGGGCCTAATACTTCTAAACTTTAACTTAATGTTCCTTAGGGTAACTGGTCTATAAATTGTATCTGAAGTTTTGATCCATTATCAAACATGGCCGCCATGGCTAAAAATAGAACAATGGGGTCAAATGCAGTTTTTGGCTTTTATCTCAAAAACTATAGATGTAAGAGCAAAAGTGACATGGAGTTTAAGTGATGAATTAGTCAAGATCTATCTGCTATGAAATTTTCAGACCTATTGGACGAACTATTATAGGGTTATTATCTTTAATATTATAATAGATAGAGAGAAAGTGTAAATGGCAAAAATGTTCAGCTAAGTAGGATCTACAAATAAGTCAAATGATCAAAATAATCAATTGAGTCCTTAAGGAGTTATTGCCCTTGAAACGTTTATTTTTTACATTTTTTCATGCAAGTCTTATTACTTTTTCATGAAAAAATACTTCCAAACTTAAACTGAATGTTCCTTAGGGTATCTAGTTTATAAATTGTATCCAAAGTTTTGATCCATCAGCAAACATGGCCGCCATTGCTAAAAATAGAACATAGGGGACAAAAGCAGTTTTTGGCTTATATCTCAAAAACTACAGCAGTTAGATCAAAAGTGAAAGGGAGTTAAAGTGATAAAATTCATGATCTATCTGTTATGAAATTTTCAGACAAGTTTGACAGCCCATTGTTGGGTTACTGTTGGAAATAGTCTTTTTATCAAATTTTATTGTTTTTGATTATTTTCAATTATAATAGATAGAGAAAAAGAATAAATGGCAATAAATGTTCAGCTAAGTAAGATGTACAAATAAGTCAACATGATGAAAATAGTCAATTGACCCCTTAAGGAGTTATTGCCCTTAAAACGTTTTTTTTTAACATTTTTTGTGAAAATCTAATTACTTTTTCAAAAATCTTCTTCTCTGAAACTACTTGGCCAAATACTAACAAACTTTTAACTGCATGTTTCTTATGATATCTAGTTTATAGATTGTATTCAGGGATTTGATCCATTTAAAAACATGGCGGCAGTTCTAGAAATAGAACATAGGGGTCAAATGAAGTTTTTGGCTTTCATCTCAAAAACTAAAGCAGTTAGAGCAAAACTGACATAGGTGAAAGTGTTGAACAGGTTTAGATCTACCTGTCAAGTAATCTTCAGACCAATAGGACAACTTATTGTTGGGTTACTGTCCAGAAATAGTTAATTTTTAGGAAATTTTACAGTTTTGGGTTATGTATTATCTTTAATATTATTATAGAAAGAGAGAAAGTGTAAATGACAAAATTGTTCAGCAAAGTAAGATCTACAAATAAGTCAAATGCCTGAAACTGAAATTACAGGTGAGCGATATCAGGCTCTCTCGAGCCTCTTGTTATTGGTGGAGGAAGCTGGAGTACCCAGAGAGAACCACCGACCTTTGGTAGAAATGCTGACAATCCCAATCAACTTGCGGGCAATTAATACAAAAACTCAAAATACACTTTATTATACTGTTATATTATTTATATTCCTGCTGTACAAGTCGCCATACTATACATTCAATTTGATTCCTCATTTACATAGCAGCAGGGAACATTTTGCTTTAGAGAAGCAATCTTGTTTTGTTTGGACATGGTTTTACTTTTAGGCAAATCATTTTGTCACTTCATCCATTTTCTTAAAAAAATAAAAAAAATGCTAGCAGTGACAGATTTAAGTGAGATGCATAATGATAAACATAAGAATGAATTTGTCATTACATATTTCAGAATCTTCAGTCTCGATCTTTTATTACAAGACTCAGAGAAAAGTTATTATATGGTAGAGGAAAATTGAAATACAGCAAAAAGGTATAGTATTTTTGTAGAAGCTCTGCAGTTCCAATAACATCAAATACAAATTAATTTGCATACATTTTTATTAGATAAAGCAGATTTTTTGGAAGAATTTTTATTTTGAAGTATTGTTGAATTTGCAATTAAACAATATGTCATCCATATAATTAGATTACCCAGGTCCTTTAAGGTCAAGTTACAGTAAACATTGTAAATAGACAATGCCACATGTTTTAAAACAAAATCAATAAAATATCATATTTATCTCTAATTTTCAACCGGATTTTCGAAGTAAAAATCAGTTATTGATTTAGGGATGTACAGCGGGTGGCGGGCTGCCAAACAGTGTCCGTTCATTTACATGAAAACGTTATGAAGAATTTTTTTCAAATTTAGATATGTTATTTCTTGTGACTAAATGAAGGTCAAGTTCAATTTTCACAATTTTAGCTTTTCTCGTTGTTCAGTTATAGCCCTTTCCCAAGAATTCAATTTTTGATGAATTAATCCATTTCTGTACAAAGGGAAATAACTTATTTTTTAAAGATTTTTAAAAGACATTGTATTAAACGTAATGATAAATGACATATTGGATTTTTTTTTCTTTTCTTTGGTAAATTGTTTGAAGAATTTTGTGGTAGGTTTGTTTGTTATTCTTTATAAACTAATTTTCTGAATGCTATATATATATATTTTTTTTTTATGAAGTGAACTCCTGTAATTTAATTAGTTAATAATTAATTTTTATTATAGGATATATTTCATTACATTTAAAGTTGTTGACATTGATCATAGATAAGTTGCAGATCTGTATTAGTTTGTGAAAAATGAAAGAAAAAACATTTGGAACTATATATTTGAATATAATTTGAAAATAGATATACATTGTGTTACATCATATCTAATTTTAGAGAACTATTAATCATATCTAATGTTAGAGTACTATGTTAAACCATATTTCTGTTCAAAGGGAAATAACTCAAACTTATTCCATGAACACATGATAGCAAAATTTCTTTATAGCTATTTTTTTTTAGGCATGTGTGTTATGAAGGTAGATGTCACCTGTAGTTGTTATGTGGTATTTTATTTTTGTTGTGTTAATGTTTAATTTTTACATGATCCTGTTTGGGGTTCAGATTTGCAAATATCATTTTCATTACTATAAGATAATAATCTATTTTAAATATTCAATCACAATCCAAATTCAGAGCTGTTTTAAGCTTAAATTTTGTGTCCATACTTGCTCAACTGCAGGAAAATCTGGTTTGCTGTCACTCGACAGCCTCTTGTTTTAATTATTGTTTAATAAAAACATAAACTTATTTCATAGCAACAACAACATATAATTTCATAAGTAAACTGATGAATTAGTTTTTATGCCCCTGCCGTAGCAGAGGGGGCATTAAGTTTTACCCTTGTCCATCTGTACAGTCCATACGTCCCAAAGTTAATTTCCGTTCTCTAACTTTAGTTTGCCTCGACCAAATGTTATGAAACTTATACAAAATGCTTATTACCACAAAACACAGATCAAGATTGAATTTAATTTCCGTTCTCTAACTTTAGTTTGCCTCGACCAAATGTTATGAAACTTATACAAAATGCTTATTACCACAAAACACAGATCAAGATTGAATTTTGGTGGCGTCACTTTAACTGTTCTAGAGTTATGCCCCTTTACAAATGGAAAAATTGCTGAATTTTTCTTTTCCGTTCTCTAACTTTAGTTTCCCTCAACTAACATGACTAAATATTATGAAACGTATACACAATGCTGACTACCACAAAACACAGATCAAGTTTGAATTTTGGTGGTGTCACTTTAACCGTTCTAGAGTTATGCCCCTTTACAAATAAAAAAATTGCTGAATTTTTCGTTTCCGTTCTTTAACTTAAGTGTGCCTCAACCAAATGTTATGAAACTTATACACAATACTTATTAACACAAATTTCAGATCAAGTACAAATTTGGGTAGCATCACTTTTACCGTTCTTCAGTTATGTCCCTTTATAACTTTATATGATATGCAAGCGGGGGCATCATCTGTGTCCAATGGACACATTCCCCATTTATTTTGAAATGATTTTCATGATAATTTAAAAGTACTTTTTCACTGATTTTGTGTACATTCTATACAAATGTTCGTTAGTATTATGGATTTTCATTTTATCATATTTCAAGAAAATAAAAGAGATTGATCCATTATGTTTTTCAACTTTTGGTTAAAGTTTTACATACTTAAGTTTATATGTGAAATTTTATGATATTTCATTTTGTGAGATCACCAATTTACTATAACTTGGACTCTACTGAATTAAGATTTTTCTGTTGTAAAGATTTATCATAAACATCAAGTCAGGGTATCACATCCTTGAAATGTTCTCTAGGTATTTCACATCCAATTTTTTATGGAAATATTCTTTAGAAAGCACAAAAATGTCAGTATTCACCTCTGAAGCTAACAAAACCTTTAAATAGACTTATTAAGAAGGGATATAGTTACGATACTGTTGTCAGGTCATTAAAGATTGCGTATTTTGGCGTTAATATTGATTCACTTATAGGGTCTTTGCATCGGAACTAAACACATTTATTTAAAAACCAGTTGTTGGCATGACACGGGTTATGTTCTTCTCATATATGTTATGATGGTATGATACTAAACCCCTAATGGGAAGGATTGTGCCTGATATTCATATGATGAAGACATAATCTTTCAATCAGTTTAATTGAAGTCTGGAGCTGGCATGTCAGTTAACTGCTAGTAGTCTGTTGTTATTTATGTATCATTGTCATTTTGTTTATTTTCTTTGGTTACATCTTCTGACATCAGACTCGGACTTCTCTTGAACTGAATTTTAATGTGCGTATTGTTATGCGTTTACTTTTCTACATTGGCTAGAGGTATAGGGGGAGGGTTGAGATCTCATAAACATGTTTAACCCCGCCGCATTTTTGAGCCTGTCCCAAGTCAGGAGCCTCTAGCCTTTGTTAGTCTTGTATTATTTTTAATTTTAGTTTCTTGTGTACAATTTGGAGTTTAGTATGGCGTTCATTATCACTGAACTAGTATATATATTTGTTTAGGGGCCAATTGAAGGACGCCTCCGGGTGCGGGAATTTCTCGCTGCATTGAAGACCTGTTGGTGACCTTCTGCTGTTGTCTGTTCTATGGTCGGGTTGTTGTCTCTTTGACACATTCCCCATTTCCATTCTCAATTTTATCTAAAACCTCTATTTGAGATCTTTTCAAAAAAAAACTTCGGCAGGCTAATTTTGGTGATGTCAACATTATAAAGTTTGTGACAATGTTACACAGTTGGGACTTATCTCTGTGTTAATATTTATTTATAATACTGTGGATTCATTTATTATCATGGGTACCAATGTTCTTGGATTGAAAAAAAATTGTATTTCCGTGGATACTTGATTTCGTGGTTGTGCCAAAGTCTGCATACAAGTCTAAGGAAATTTGTTCTTAAATCTATGGTTCAGCTTTACCTACAAAAACCACAAAATTGGAACCAAGAAATAATAATGAATCCACGGTATACCTGATATTAAATAAAAATATTTATTCTTTTAGCATTTAATGGTCAGTGGCACTAACCTGTATTTTCTGTATCGTAAACAAATCAACAGCATAGATTTAATGGAAGGTAGGTATATCAAACACTTATTTTTATTAGTGGCATGCAAAGAAAAATATAAACAGTTTGTTTTAAGCATGAAGAACATGTATCTCCCGTAACCTTAGAATAAAGAGAATCTGTTTATTTACTCAGATTTGATGTAAAAGGTTTACTGCCTAAAGATTAAGGAACATTAATTTTGTGTAAAAGACCTATTGTTTAAAGTTTGATACAGTAAAGATGACATATTTACTTGATAACTTAGATAGAGCCTCTTGATAAGTTTAACCTATAGTTTAAACATTTTGATAAGCAAGACCCAGGGACCGTGTTTGAAAACTTGCATATTTTGCCACATACCCAACACAAGTTTTATAAAGTTAAACTCTTATTTTTAAAGAAATACACGTTCTAATACATGTACTTGTGCATGTTTAGTAAATTTAGTAAGAAAACAGTGATTTCTCTTTTGAACATGATGCATAATCATTGAAAATTGAATTTATATATTATCTAAAAAAGATGACATTTACAGAACAAAGCTTATTTTATTTTTCATTTAACAGCCTTACAGTTGTAAAGGGAATTAAACAAATTGCTGGTAAAATTCTTTTTAAACTGTACATACAGTTTTGTTTTGAAATATTAAATGTAGACCTAGAAAATTTGTTCTAGTTGAAATATTAGAAAATATTTGAAAAATGCAACATGAAAAGGATTTGAGCACTATTTTTTTCTTTTTTGATGGAAAAAGGACAATATTTTGAAAGTTGATTTTTATTTAAATCTGGTTGTTTTTTCTATGACTTGTATTTTAACATGATTTTTATTTTGGATTTTGTTTTCAGAAATTGGTTTACCAGATACATTTAACTCATGGTATTTGGTAGCAGAATTACATGTATGGTAGGTAGTTACCATAACAACCATATTCTTTATTTATTAATTTTCCAAATACTACTAATATGATCACTCTTCAGTCATTGGTCAATTCAAATACATGTAGTTTTATATTTTCCGATTAAAAAAAAAATTAAATGCAGTTTAAATCATTGTCTTTTCTTTTAAGAAATGTTGGAAAAGTGGATAAAAGCTAAATGTCTTTGTATTATTAACATGATTAAGTCATGAAAAAGAACTTGTTTGATAGTCTTTTTTATTTTCAATTTTTAATGGGTGCTTTGTTTTTATTTATTTACTTTTTACTTACACAGTAGGTCTACCAATTTTATGTCTGGTTAAATTTATCATTTTCACAAATAACAGTACATATTGAAAATTTTCCATTATTAATTTGGTTACTTATATTTTTTGTGTCCATTGTTAAATTTGTGCAATTTGTAAGAAGGGTTTATCAGCAGATTCAGCAGAAGAACCTACCGGTATATGAAAAAATAACCAGATATATGGTAGTACTTGGTAGCACATCAGACGAGGATCCAGATTTAATGTTGGAGGGACGCTCTGAAGAATATGGAGTTAAAAGGCCATATTCATATCTTAACAAAATTTTGGCTTTTTACCTTTAAATTTCTTTTTTTTTTCTTTTTTAAGGGATAGGGGACAGTCGCTAGGTGAGCACCCGTCTCAATCCGCACCTGAACATTTGTCAAGAGATTATTGACATTAAAAAATCTTTCAATCTTACTTTGGGAGTGAGTTCAAAATACAAATATAAACCCACATAATCAGATAATTAACTTTCAATGGTACTTTTAAGTGTGGTGTATGCCTCATTTTGTAGGATGATAATGTATAGGTTAGCAAAAGAAGGAGAGGAAGGCAGACATGCAAGGAATGGTTTAGTCAAAGCTATGTGGTCAGATGTGGATGTACGAAGTAGAAATATAAAGGTTAGTCTGAAGGGAATATATGTTTATGTTGTTTGTCCAAAAGACCAAAAAGCCATATGTCATTTGTTGTTCACCTGGCCCAAATGTTATGTTTGTCCTTTTTTTCCAGACCATGGAACTTGATCATTTGTCAGCAAAATTTACTTTAAATTTTAAAGAAGGTATCAACTACTCCTACAGTTTTCAACCAAAATCATTGAAATTTAAGAAAAACTTGTTTAAATTTATTTCCCAATTTTATGCATTTTATTTTGCAATATATTTTTAAATATTAATTGAAGACAATGCTCCACTGTTTAAGGAACTGTCTGTTAAACCTGGTCATTTGAGTCTTTGCTCCATTTTTAAAAGTTTAATCATCCAGCCATTATTTTTGTTGGAACAATAGACAATATTTATTTGTGCAAACACATTTACATTAAATAGTTATGGCATGATCAAATATAACCAATAAAACAGACAATTGTACATGTAATGGTAAGCATTGCAGTATTAGCATTTTGTTTTATGATACATAGCCTATCATCAAGGCAAACATTAATGTTTCGGACATCATACTGATGGTTGAATTATGTTTACAGGATAATTTCTGTCTTTTATATTTTATCAGCTGTAATGCTTATGAATAAAGTTAATATTATCTTTTATATAGGAACATGGTATGGCAGGAAGAAAACAAGCTTTATATAAACTCAACGACCATTTCTATACAGCTTTGTTGACATATGAAGAGGTAACTATACACTTGTCTTTTGTATTTTTGTGTCGCTGGGTTGCTGTCTCATTGACACATACCCCACATCTCTTTTTAGTCATACCAATATCTCCCACATCTACAACAAGTAAGTGGTTAATGAGGGGGTAGGAGGGGGGTTTCATGCTGAATTTTCAAGAAAATATATGCCAAATCCCAAATTACCATGAAAATAATGTGTTCATTCCTGCATCATGATAAAATTTAATCTGGAATTCCCAACGAATTCCGGCCAATTAAAGAACTTAATCCTGAATTCTAGACAAAAGGTCCTTCCACCTCTCAGTTGATCATAAAGATAAATAAAAAGAAAAAAAGAAAAAATATGCCTTAGAGATAATATCTCAACCACATACAGCAACCACAATTTTTAGCATGTTCTAATCAGAGTAAAACTAAGGAGATGTGGTATGACTGCCAATGAGATAAATACCTACAAGAGTCCAAATAATATGGATGTGAGCAACTATAGTTCATTCAACAATGAGCAAGTACCATATCTTACTGTCAGCTATATGTATAAAAAGTAAAATCACAAAAATACTGAACTCCGAGGAAAATTCAAAAAGGAAAGTCCGTAATCAAATGGTAAAATCAAAATTTCAAACACATCAAACGAATGGAAAACAACTGTCAAATACCTGACTTGGTACAGCCATTTTCTTATGTAGAAAATGATGGATTGAACCTGGTTTTATAGCTAGCTAAACCTCTCACTTGTATGACAGTCGCATCAAATTCCATTATATTGACAACGATGCGTGAATAAACAAACAGACACAATAGGTAAAAATGTCAAAAATAGGGGTACATCAGTCAACATTGTGTAATCATCTTAATCACTATAAAAACAAACAAATGTAACAAAGAAGCACAAAAAGGCATACATCAAATTTAACATCCTCATTTTGCTTTTTTATTATATGATTTTATTTATCTATGTAAAATCCACCCATAAAGGATGGAAGGTTTTAAGTACTGGCGTAGAATCACCTGTTTGAAACCACACAGGTAGATATAAAATAATTTTGTCATTCAAAGTATGACGGGATACATCAGTACAGAGTCACATCAAATGTATATCACAAAAAACAGACTTAACAGTAAAAGTAATATTAATAAAGTAAAATAATTTTGTCATTCAAAGTATGACGGGATACATAAGTACAGAGTCACGTCAAATGGATATCACAAAAAACAGACTTAACAGTAAAAGTAAAATTAATAAAGACAAATAAAAGAATATAAAAGGTTCTGACATGACAAAATGTTGAATAATTCAAACAAGAAAACCAACAGCTTAACTCATGAAAAATATAAAAGATAAAACAAATATGACTATGACGGCAAATGAGACAATTATATACCAGAGTTTATGTGTGTGTTCTGATTTACATAGTTCTAGTCAAACTGTGCAAAGAATAGTGCGTTTCGCTATAAACTATGAATTCAAATACCTTGCATAATATGTCTGAAGGAACCAAAATTTGTCTGACATGTCAACTGTCTGTCAGATTTTGAGACCTTAAGCATTCTGACCCGACCATTTGTAAAAAGTGAGCTTAAGCTGTTAGCTATAGCTAAAGGGGGTTAACCAGAGTGTAAAAATATTCCATTTTTTTCAGGGAATCATGGGAACTGACAAAGAATTGGCTAGTGCAGTATGGAACATGTTGTACAGTAAGAAAGATATAGATCCTGAAAAGTTATTACAGTGTATAGGATATATAAGAAAACAGGTTAGAACTTAATTGCATTAATGCTGTACACTCAAATAAATTAAGAATGTTCATTGTTAATGGTGTGACAGGAAACTCTCTCTGAGCTAAAAGTAGGATGCTGTTAATTTATTCCCAAAAAAATTCCATGGACCTGAAAGTATGATGCAAAAATTCCCGTAGGTTTCTATAAGTTACAGATAATTATACTTTGATACCGTGTAAAAAAGTATACAATTAAGTCATCATTTTAAGGGGAAAAAAATCATTAAGACTGTTCCCATGTTAAATTTGAAAATAACACTATACATTTGGTGTGTCTGAAGTACTTTCCAGGATTTATCTTAATCAGGAACATACAAGCTTAAAACATTGAAAGCTTAGGATGTACTATTCTTTATTATAATACTTCACATAAAAATGCAATATTTTGATTGGCTTATACGAGGGTGTTTATTTACTCTATTCTATGGTAAATACTCTATTACCCTTCACAGAGACGCTTGATCAAGTGTGCGCTTTATTAAATACGACTCTATCCTATGGCAAATACTCTATTACCCTTCAAGGAGACGCTTGATCAAGTGTTCGCTTTATTAAATACGGATGGTTGTTATGTACAAGACGTCATAGTTTATTACTTTGAATTTGAAATTTAATCGACAGTAATAACAGAACATACAGTATAATAAATTAAATAACACATATCTGAGAGGGTGATAGAGCAAATTGTTACCCTTCGAAAAGACATTGTCAACCTTGGCTTCGCCTCAGTTGACAATGTTTTCTCGGGGTAACAATCTGCTCTATCACCCTCTCAGCTATGTGCTATTTATATAATATTAAACAATGTTTAAGGAGCTTAAAAAGTGACATACAAATAATCCTAAATTTCACCTACCGTCTACTTTGCGTGAGGAAGTTAAAGCATTATTTTCTTTTTTCTTTTTAAATTTATTTATAGGGATATTAAGGAAGGTATGTTAAAAATCATGTCGTGTGGATTTTAGAGGTCATCTTGTTCACATTTAGTGAACCTTTTACTGAAGACTGAATTTAAAACACACATGTCGAGTGTGATATTATGTCAATAACATATTTTTATGACCCCGCCGTAGCGGAGGGGGCATTAAGTTTTTCCCTAGTCCGTCTGTACGTACGTACATCCGTACGTCCCATAATTGGTTTCCGTTTTCTTACTTGAGTTTGCCTAAACCAAATGTTATGAAACTTATACACAATGCTCATTACCACAAAACACAGATCAAGTTCAATTTTGGTGGTGTCACTTTAACCATTATCGAGTTATGCCCCTTTATAAATCGAAAAATTGCAAAATTTTTAGTTTCCGTTCTGTAACTTAAGTTTGCCCCAACCAAACATTATGAAACCTATACACAATACTTATTACCACAAAACTCAGATCTAGTACAAATTTGGGTACCGTCACTTTTATTGTTTTTGAGTTATGTCTCTTTATAATGTTGTATGCAAGCGGGGGCATCATCTGTGTCCATGGGGACACATTTTCCATTTATTTCTGATTCATGTACTGTTGATTCATATATTTTCATGGGTACCAATTTTCGTGGATGGTGGAAAACTTGCATCTTCATGGATAGTAGATTTCATGGTTTTGCTAAAGTATGCATATATTCCGTAGATAATTTATAAAACGTTGAACTTTTTAATTCATGGTTCCCCTGTATCCCTGAAAATTTATTTCTAACAAATAATTATGAGTCCACAGTAATGTAAATAATTGAAATGAAATCTAAATCTTGAGAACAAAAGTTTTATTAATAAATCACATGTAATTACAAAGTATAACTAATAACCATCTACAAAATCAGGTAAACTCCATGAGAAAATATGTCTTAAAATTGAATAATATTATACATTTCAGATTAAATATCTAGAAGAGGAAAATAGTAGCAGCCACATATTGGGATCGGGAATGATAAAACTTCTGCCTTTTGAAGAACAATGAGATTATTCAAGGCAAGATACCTAAGTTCAAGGACTAGACATCCAGACAATTGTTACCTTTCCTCAGTGGAATACAGACTTAAGGATGTTGTTGTTTAAAAAAAAAACCCACAATTTTACCTCTTTTTCAGTAGACAGTATATCACTATTGTGAAAAAATAAAGATACATAGATTTGCCTGTTTTTATTAAGATAAAAGCAGTTAAAAAATAAAATTTTTTGGTAGAAAAAGATATCTCAATAAAATTGAGAATGGAAATGGGGAATGTGTCAAAGAGACAACAACTCGACTATAGAGCAGACAACAGCCGAAGGCCACCAATGGGTCTTCAATGCAGCGAGAAACTCCCGCACCCAGATGCGTCCTTCAGCTGGCCCCTAAACAAATATGTATACTAGTTCAGTGATAATGGACGTCATACTAAACTCCAAATTATACACAAGAAACTAAAATTAAAAATGATACAAGACTAACAAAGGCCAGAGGCTCCTGATTTGGGAGAGGCGCAAAAATGCAGGCGGGGTTAAACATGTTTTTTGAGATCTCAACCCTCCCCCTATACCTCTAGCCAATGTAGAAAAAACAAACGTACAACAGTATGCACAGTAAAACTCAGTTTAAGAGAAGTCCGAGTCCGATGTCAGAATAGGAAACAAAAGAAAATAAACAAAATGACAATAATACAATAATACATAAATGAACAAAGGACTACTAGCAGTTACTGACATGCCAGCTCTAGACCTCAATTAAACTGATTGAAAGATTATGTCTTCATCATATGAAAATCAGGTACAATCCCTCCCATTAGGGGTTTAATATCATACCATCATAAAATATATGAGAAGAACATAACCTGTATCATGCCAACAACTGGTTTTAGAATAAATGTGTTTAATTCCGATGCAAAGACCCTATAAGTGAATCAATATTAAAGCCAAAATATGCAATCTTTAATGAACTGACAACAGTATCGTAACTATATCCCTTCTTAATAAGTCTGTTTAAAGGTTTTGTTAGCTTTTGAGGTGAATACTGACATTTTTGGGCTTTGTAAAGAATATTACCATAAAAGATTGGATGTGAAATACCTGAACGTATAAGATGTCTGCATGTTGAGTTATATTTACGAATGATGTCCTTATACCTATGATAAAATTTAGTAAATTTTTTTACTAGTTTATGATATCGAAAACCCTGGTGGAATAATTTTTCAGTGATACATAAATTTCTCTCGCTAAAATCTAATACGCTGTTATTAAACCTTTTCATATGAAATATATTTGAAGAAATTTATGTTGAACTGTTTTAAAAATAAATTAGAGATAGAAAATATCAAAACATTTGACTGAAAGTGTAATTGGCAATTAAAAAGATATTTATAAATATTTTAATTGGTGGGCTAAATTTCACATGCTGACCTTGCAAAATGTCTAAGGAGTCAATCACAAAATATTTCGAAAAAGTCAGGCTCACAAAGTATTTTGAAAAAGTCAGTCTCATAAATTAGTCAGAAACAATTAAGGTCAAATTTGTTTTAGAAAAAGTCTGGCTCACAAAATATTTTTAAAAATTCAGGCTCATTAAATAGAAATTTCAGGCTCACAAAATGTTTAGATAAAATTCAGGCTCAGAAAATATTTATAAAAAGTTTAAACCTGAGAAGTGAATATCCTTATATTCCACTGAAAATCTAGTAGGCATTATATCATAAGGATATATTGAAATATCATCATTATAGACATGAACAAAGAGTTTTGATAATACATGGTATAAAACACATAAACTTGAGCTCTGGTGAACTTATTACAGATTTTAATATAACGTCCTTCTTTCGCTTTGGAATCAAAACCATGTTCTTATTACAATAAAACATGGGCTTCATGTGATTGTCGTCACAATTGAAATTGCAACGTCAGTTGTATTTTGAACAATGCTGGAGGTCGAAATGGACAGTTTTGTTGGTATTGCTGGGTATAAAGATATTGACAATTATAGTGCCTACCCATGTAAAAATGAACATAAAGCATGGTATGAAAGAATTATTTCTTAAATATAAAATTGTATACAAACAAATAAAACAAAGCATCATGCAAATATAAAACATACAAGTGAATAAAACCATGTAACAATCAGAATGGTTTAAAAATCAAAATTAAGATAGAATTGTTGGAGGGAAACAATCAGCAGCTGCTGTGGTAAGTGTCTTAATGTGTCACCTGACAACATGTCAGAAGCAGTAAAACTCTAAAAAGTTTAAGGAAAAGGTTAGATATCAAAGCAATTCATATAAACTAAATATTTTGAGTTTAAATATATTAGGAAAGTAGTATAATAATACGCGTATTTAATAAAATAAGTTGCAGAAACAAACACAATTCATTTGAATGTGGAACAGCAACACTTTGTAGCATTCCAAGACCCCAAAAAGTGTATTAAGATGGAGGAAAAATATTTTCTGTCCTGAAATGTCCACAGGGTAAAGCTGCAGCATATTCAAACTATTTTTTCTATTATCAGTAAATGGTCTCGCTCTGTAACATCTAATATGATATCGTATCTAAAAGTACTTGGTAGTTTTCATATATTCATATTTAAAATCTTCTAAAAAGGGAACTAAGTGGAATGTTTCTTCATTTAGTCTTTCTTTGGTCTTTTTTTTTTCTTTTCATCCAAGTATTTTAAAGGAGCATGTGGTTGTTGCGTTGTCTAAACTGAACATTCATAAACAATCATTTCTACATCATAATTAAAGACTACCTAATGATAGAAACTGTTTACTTTCAACTTACTTTGACATATGACCTTATAATGGCTCAACTATACTTCCTCTTAAGAAATGTTGATTAGTTTTGAGTTATCTCCCTTGAAATGCAACTCTAGATTGATTTTCACTGGTACCAAGTCAATAAATTTGTCTTCATGCAGTCAACCTGGTCCCATTTAGGAAGCTTTAGTTTTTTAAAATACCAGGCCTGATATATACAAAGTAGAACAACACCTAACGAAAATCAACACATTCAGTATCAAGCCATTGTTTATTTGTTTATGCAATTAATGTGAAAGCTAAAAGTAAAGATATCAATTATAATAATAATGATACTGGAAATAAATATATGGAAACATTAATATGCTGCTCTAGGTTGAAATTTAACAAAAAATTGTCTCTATAATGTTTGCTTGTTAATTTGTGGGAGGTATCTATTATGTGCGTTAAAACTGGGACACAAGAATCACAGCGACTAAGCAGGCTTAGGTAGATAAATAGTTCGTTTCTATGTATGTTAGGGTTAGTTTTTTTTGTTCACTTTAGTGTTCCTGTTGTTCGTTTGTTATCCTAGTTGATGTTTTTGCCTCGGATTAAAGTCAATAAATTTGTCTGCATGCAGTTAACCTGGTCCCATTTAGGAAGCTTTAGTTTTAATACTAGGCCTGATATGTACAAAGTAGAACGACACCTAACGAAAGTAAGCACATTCAGTATTAAGCCAGGTCATCCACTGTTTAATTGTTTATGCAATTAATGTGAAAGATAATAAAAGTAATAATATCAATAATAATAATAATGATAATGAAAATAAATATATGGAAAATTAATATGCTGCTCTTTATTGAAATTGAACAAAAAATTGTCTTTATAAGATTTGCTTCATGTAAAATCTGTAAACTTGTGTGGGGTATCTATTACATGCAAGGAAATATTCATGGTCATATTTGCATTCTGACTAAAGATCACCAGATAACTTGATGCAAAATTTTGGTACCATCCAGTAGTCTTTGTCTCAGTACAAGTCAATATATGTTTTTGATTATTTTTTACAATTATTACTACGTGTTTACATTGATACAGTAACTTTCTACTGTCTGTTAAATATAAAACACAAGAATTAATCAAACTTTAAAAAAAATGAATATGATATATTCAATATGTCAAATATATATTAACAATGATACATCAACTTGGATAAAAGGAGATTTGTCGTCACCTTTTTTAGGCAGTTCTTCTCCAAAGAATGCAAATTTTCTTTTCATTTTTGATATTTTATTAGTTCATATTAAGTCTATTTTTTCTGCATTGGTTTGAAGATATAACCTGTAAAAGGTGTATGATTATAAATGAAGAAGACAATCTCTACTTCGCCATCAAATCAAAACACCAGCTTAATTATTCACAAATTTCACATAGTGTCAAGCTACTGATATTTTACAATATCATTACGAAGAAAACCTATTGTGTTTATCGTACCATTTCTGGTCATAGTCACTCTTCCTTATACAGTTTTACGCTTGGTTGTCCTAACGAAAGTTATCTTGATAATCTTTGCTGTCATATTGTGATGTCACTGATAAGTTCTGCTCATGTATTAAAACTGTGACAGACACAAGAATAACAGAGCGACTTAGCAAGTTTAGGGAGATAAATGTTATTACACGTGTCTGTACTTTGTTGATCTGATAAAAAACTAAAGATTGTTTAAAAATAAAAGCTATAGGTTATTGAACAATATATAAAGATAATAATGTTACTGTTAACTTAAAGTTATGTGATTCAGAGTTTAAATAGTAACGGATCCTCACCCTTGGTTACACTTCCAACTAACATTATTCCCGATCTCATATCAATGGCTATTGATTGAAAAGCTTTAATTCCATTATCGTGATTCAATATTGTTCTGCATGATTTTCCATCAGGTGAAACTACGACTATTTTATCACTGCCGCTGCAAGCAACATAAATAAACCCGTTTTTATCTAATGCAATTCCCATTGGTTGATTAATGTCCTGGTCTATAAATGTCCAAAGCTTTTCCCCATTCAACTTGACGCATTGAACTGTGTTTTCCAAAAAGTTGGTGCCGTAGATAATTCCCTTGACCAATGAAATATTATGTGCATGAATTCCTTCCAAGTTTTGTTTCGATTTGTCTTCAAGGTTCATGACGCAGACATTTTTTTCAGTAGGCATTGCTATGACCAGAACCTGACCATCACTTGAAATTCCTGAACATACTTCAGGAAACTTGAAATTTCTGACAACCTTACTTTTGTCTATATCAACAAGGACAACTTCCTTTGCAATATAAAATGAAACGGCCACTGTACCATTTTCAACAAAACATACACTGTCAGGTTCATCCTTAAATGACACCACCTTTCGGATAAATGTCCCATCATTTTTAAACACCGACAGACAGTTTTGCAAATCAAGAGCAGCAATATTACCATCAGGTAGTATACAACAGCCAGCAAATCCCTTTTTTCTCACTTGTGGTACCTTAAGAGTGCTAAAGAACGATGCCTTTATTTGATCTATCATAGGAACAGGAACTAAATACTGAGCTTGATCTTTCCTTCCCGCATTTGCCACAATATTACAGGGACGGGTGTCAACTGAAATTTTTCCAAATGTTTTGACATCATGTAAAATTGAAGCAAGAGCAGGTGTAGTTGTCACATGCAAATTACTTTTGTTTAAATAAGAACCACGTTTTAAATCCTCAATGTAGTTTTCCTCTTGTGATGTGATTTTCTCAATTTCCCTCAGACCTACATAAGTTTGAAGTTCAGTTGCATATTTAGTCATATTTGAAAATTCGTTTTGCAATTTCCTTATCTGTTTGGCTCGTTTATCCACTTCATGTAAGAGCGTCTCCATTTCTGATTTTAAATTTGAATGTTCAATTTCTAGATCTTTAAGAATTTGCTGTTCTAGTTGGTTTAGGTAATCATCGATGGATTTACGCATGGATCGGATATTCTGAATTGCCTCTGTTTTCTGTGTTGTATTTATAAGTATTCTGTTTCTCAAATATTCTATTATCTCATCTAAGTTTTCTTTAAGACACTTCAGATCTTTCTCAAGGAGAGGAACCGCAGCTGATGATTTTACTTGATTTAGAATGTCGGACAATGGCTTCATTGTCTGACATAATTGATGGTTATCGGTGGTGCAATGTACACAACAGGGACACGCATGTGAAGAACAGTACAGTTCAAATTTTTTGTCATGGATTTTACACAGATTGCTCGTTCCTTTAATAAAAGAAGGCAATTCATGATAATTCTCAGCCGATATTGTTTTATGATCTTTAGATGTTCTAGACCGTTTATGATGCTTCTCACATTCTACACATAGGAAGACATCGCATTCAGTACACCACGTATCCGAATCAGTTGTGACGCTATCCTCTTTACAAAGAGTACAGAAGTCCTTACTTGTTGATGCCATTTTATGTAATCATTTCTGAAATTAAAGGAAATACTGACTTTTTTTTTATGTTCAACAGTTTGAAAACATACACTTAAAAAGTTTGATATGCAGTCAGAATCCCACAATACATGAAAGAGGAGATCTAAAAATGAAAAAAAAGGTACAACAAACAAGACAGAGGCATCTGATAGACTGTTGTTACATACCTTTGAATAAACTAATACTGTATATGACACTTGATTGATGGTAATAAGTCACAAAAATATTTCTCCTTAAACACTGAATTTTACAGTCCGGACTAGATTTATATATTGCACCTGGGCGGTGTTTTTTAGATTTCGTGATTGAGTCTGGACTGTAAAATCCAATTGATATTTTTTTCGCTCGAATAATAATATCATTACTTAAGATAAGCTCAGCGAGGGTGATTCGTAGTGGAAAAACAATAATGTTGTCACAGTTTTGAAATGTGAAATGAACACTCCCACAAAAAAATCGAACATTGTGTTGGGAATATCCATCTGGTCATAGATGTAAATCAAATAAAACGCATTACATAAAGAAGATAATTCTTAAATTTACAATGGAATCTACATTAAATTTTAATGTCAAATATCTCATTAGATAAAAAAAATTTCTTAATACTGATTTCAATTTTTGTAGTTGTACCAGTAACTAAATAAAATGAAACCGACGACAATCTGGATTTCTTTATTCTCTTTAACCATGTATCACCATGCATATGTTTTGTTGACTTTATTTCAAATGAATATTTATACCCTGATTGCATAAAACAACAAACAAGAATACAGTACAAATAAAAGACACATATAAACATCTGCATAACTATGTGAATTACTTAAACGTGTTAACAAGTTTAATTTCTGCATAGATCCTAATATTGTTTATCTTTTAAATCTTAATTGATAAGTCGTGGATTCAGTTTATATATATATATATATTATTTACAAATTTTAATGTAAAAGTTTATTTTCAAACAAGTGAAAAAGACATTTGCTTCATCTTCTTTTCAAAGTAAATCACAATTTTGGAAACTCCTATTTTCTCATCTTCCCCTTTCAATTTCCAGCACTTATTCACGTTATGCAAAAATTTCTTCTATTTTCAAAACTTTGTTCAAATAAAATTTTATCTATGTGGAAATAAGTTGTAAATTGCTGTAAATGAAGATCTTTCTATTATTTGTACATATCTAAGTTTTAGTGAATAGACAAATTCCCTTTTATAGTCTGGTACTTGTATCTCTTTAATATATTATCTTATTTATATAGCAAATAATATTCACAAAACAGATCCACACATCGTAGAATCTATTTTGTTAACTATACACTAGAACAAAAAAAGAAGTGTGTGGTTTAATAATTCCAAACACTAAACCAATAAACGACAACACTAAAAGCAAAAGAGTAGCACTTTTAAAGTGCAAAACAATCATCATCAGCAGTTTCACTTTGACACATGAAAATGTCCAAATTAATATTATTTGAAAAAGAATGGTATTTTTACACCTAATACTTAATAGTATAAGATATTAGGAAATAGTCTCCTCCGTAAAGTTATTTCACTCAAATTAGAATGTTTTTAATATGACATTTGTAGTAAATTATCTGTATTTGGGTTTAAACTGTTGCAAATTATGCATGACGGTCTGGAGACGGAATATCTTTCATTCATTTCCGTATTCTTCAATCTTGTAGGCAATTATATCTTTATTTTTAATTTATTTGGAAAATTATGAATTGTTCTCCATTCTCTTTTTCTCAGCATTTAATTTTCTTTTTAACTTTAATTTTGTTATCCATTGTTCTCTATTCTGTAAACCCCATTTAGTCCCTAGTACATTGAACTATAGTTACACATTCAATAAAAATAGATTTAGGACAAATTTTATCTATCGTCCAATAAACAATTGCTTTTAGGACAAAATCATATTTTAGTGTTAAACGAATCTTCCGGAAATGAGAATTTACTTTCTGTTTGAACAGAAAAGTTTACAAATGTACTTCTGTTATAAATTATATTGGGATTTCCCCCTTGTAGGACCGTTAATTTTGAATTAGATATATTATAATCGATCGTATAGAAGTATATGATGTATTTTACCGAACTCTAATATTGAAGTTGATTTTGTTATTCTTACCTTAATAGCTGTGATGTGTAGAAAATCTGAATGTCAAACAGGGAAGTAAAATGTCAAATAAAATAACTTATAGCTTGTTTAAAAAGCTTGCCGATGGAAATCTGTTTATATTATTCCCCATGCACGGGGTGGGTAGTATGCTGTAATGACTTAGTCCATTTTAAATTCCTCCCCTTATATTTCGTTAAATTTAGCTCAGATTTTTAGAATATTGACTTAGCATGGAATTTTTCGTCACACATGACTCATGGTCTTCTGTAATAATGAATTATTTGAGAATTTGAGATTTGGTCATCCACTTTATTTGTTGAGTTGTACCGTTTAGCAAATTTGACATCCGAACGTCAATCACTTCTTAATCTAAATATTTTTTTTATTTTTCTATTATTTGTTATTAAATGAAAAAAACAAATGATATGGTATATCAATTTATGACACACAATCACTAAAAATGCACATAAAAACCAAAACCAAAGAGACAACACTTTGATTATCTTAAAGTCACAGTAATGCCGCCAACAGAAGCAACACGTCTCACATCACTGCAATATCAAGATAGTTCCTAACAACAGTATTATATGTACAGGAAGAATTGACTTGAAGGTCAAGGATATGCATATTTAATAAAAAAAAAATTAGATACATGTATCTTTGAAAAATGTTTACAGTAGGTTGGTATTCCCCTTCAATTTCAACATATGGAAAAGTAAATTAGACATAGATATGAGAAGAAAATATGTCAAATGCACCTCTGTTCAGTGAAAGAATTGAATAACTTCTTTTTACTTTGCGAAAAACGAATTAACCAAAAAATATGATATATATATATATATACAAGTCTAAATTGAAAACAAATATATATATATACTAATGTTTGGTTTTTTAAAACCACTTTGCCGATTGATTCCCTTTGAAAGAAAATATAATTGACAAACCTTTCTTGAATTATCCGTTTATAAATTATTAAGAAACAAAGGTCTCAGCTCCATCAAAGTTGACCTTGGATGGATTTTGTTATTATATTTAGGTCCTTTTAGGTCATATAGCTCTTCAACTGATACATCTTTGGCTTTCAAATATTCGGCTTTGAGCGTTACTGATGCAGGTAAATATAGAAAAGCGCTTCGGACGCATGAAACTTATAATGTGTTGTTTTTAGTTTTTGACATGAATACGTGCAAAAGTTAAATTAATCTAACGACAAAGAGATTTGATTCTTAAAACTATAACTTTTGTTTTCAAAGGTTACAAACACGTCTAGTTTAACTCTTTTTAAAGCACATGGTATAAGTATGTGTGTTTTGGCAAGGAAAACAATAAGTAATTCTATGATACAATATAACTTCGAATTTACACCCTTAATAGCATATTAGGATATTTATCATGTTCAATGGGACTCTCACTTTTTTAGGTACATCAATTCTTGCGAAATTTTAATTTTTAGAAATAACATGATGGCGGGAAAACCTGACAACTAAGTTTTGTTCTCATTTGAAAAGTTCGTTTACAACCTTTGCATAACCAGCAAACATTTAAGATAACCATAAAGGTAACAAAGGAAAATCATAACATGCAGAACTTCGATGGAAATTAATACTTCAGGAATAACAAAATTAACAGATCCACCTGTAATACAATAAAGGTAGGTTTCGGCAGTTTATGTCTCTTCAGTGATGGTTAAGGCCAAGATATTTAAATCCAAAACCTAATATAAACGTCGAAAAGCTGATAAATAGCCTGCATATTAAAAATTATTGAACTGGTATATGAAATCCCCTTCATAAAACTCGCCATCTCATTATTGAATAGCATACCCAATTATCACTATAATTCAAATAAATAGAAATGAATTCGAGGAAAAATAAACTTTAATAATCAACACTGCATGAGGCATTTGAACTCATATGTGACCCTTTTCCTTCAATTGGACATCAAAACCTTATCACATATACGTTTATGACGGTATTGAATAGTCTGCAACATTGATTTTAAGCTGTATACTTATGTCAAAGTTATGAAACACTCACTCTGAATGGTCACATATCATGCGAAATGTTTTCATTATGACTTAAAAGTTTTACTCATAAATTCTGTTTTAGTCAACTTAAAATTACCAATTTGACGTGTTAAGCATAGTCAAATGAAACTGTTCCAATTATTAAGGAGATGTGGTATGCTTGCCAATTAGAAAACAATATCTACCTGAGACAAAAGATCGAAGATGTACACAATTCTTAGGTCAACTTGCGGCCTTCAACTATTAGCAAAACCCATACCGTATAAAAATCTATAAAAGGCCCAAGTATGACAAAATATGACTCAATTAAAGAGAAAACCCCACGGCCTTATCTATGCTAAAAACAGAAAACCAAAATTAAATCAAGAACAGTGGTATAACAGCTGAACATAGGAACTTACTGTAAAAAAGCGGTAGGAAAGGACATGACTCATCAAATCGACACGAAGCACCCAAAACAAAACATCACAAAAAAACGAACGACAATAAGTCCCGACTTAAGAATAATCGCAGTAACTAAAATCTCGGTCAAAGCCGATGAAACCTAATATTCTAAATCAATCATTTTTTCACAGACTTAAATTTCAATCAATACACATCCTACAGATTTCTGACAAAACGTCACATACAGTCGAATAACAGCATACACTAATGCAGTGCCAAAGTATCCAGATATAACAGACGAAAGAAAGCAAAATAAAAATAAATTCACACATATTTGTACGTGGCGAATGTTGAGCACATGCATGTACAACAAAAATAATTACATGATAGGTGTTGTTCATATGAAGAAAAATGTGGCAAATATTCAGTTGGTACTTGCATGTGCTCTTTGTCAGATCCTAAAACTATTTGAAAATGACCGAAATGTATGCACTTTTCACAAAACACATATACATTGTAATAACCTTTTCCAATACGTCATAACTGCATTTATTTGTACGTCGTGGATCCAAACTACTGATCTGAAATTTCTAAATTCCTCAATTTTAAAACAGACATACAGTTAATTTTTTTTAATCTCAAGTCGAAATTATTAAAAAATTAAAAATAAAGCCAAAGAAAAAAATACTCGTCTGTAATTAAAAACCTCAAGTTTAAAGCAGATGACAATCTAAATTTTCAAATCTACAGCCGAAATAGTGAAAAAACAAATAAAGCCAAATAAGGCCCTTATCGCACCCTGTCCCTAGTAGCCCAAGTATCGTTTCAGTAACGAAAGAAAACGTGTACTACGATAAATTCCAGTATTTGTTTGTAATGATGCCTGGTTCAACCTAAATTTTTTTTTCAGATTCCCAATAATACAATCATATTTAAACAAGGGATGCAGCTCTCGCACAGGAAAACTTTATCCTAGAAGATCTTGGCCCTTATGTAATTGGTGAAAAATTCTTTAATGTATCATTGATTGAGACTATTGTGCCTAATAAAGGTTAAATAAGAAATTGACATGCACACTGAAATCAGTTTCTTACAATTTAAACCGTATTCCTGAATTTTAAGGAAGATCTAAAGGAAGGTCTACAAAAGTACAAGTACTACACTGTTTTAAAGTTTCTGGTCCAGTGCCTGTTTCAAGTCGGGAATATCGCCGTTTTAGCATCTTTTAAATATTTTATCATTTAGAGAATATATTATTGATTGCTTATCTTTGATAGTTTCTGTTAGTTTTATCAATTTTTCAAATTCCGGTGTTTTATCTTGTCAAAGTCTGTATGTTGACCTTTTGTTTTATTTTTCAAAGACGATGGTTTGCTGTCTTAACAACAAATGCTCCAACAGTGCCATTACATCGAAAGTTTTAAAATACTAGATTCCCCTTCATTGATAAATTAAATTTAATAACAGTTTTCTTCTAAACAAACAAAGTAAAATGTGTTCAATAAAACTCAATTGAAGCAAACATTAAATATATAATACGTTTTTTAAATTTTGATTTGGCACTATTTTTCAGTAGGGTCCAGTACCATTCATTTGTTATATATGTTGAAGGTCTTTTCAGACGGTGCCCATTTAGGTAAAAGGTAAGGTTTTGTTTTTAAATTTCTGCTGAGAAAGGAAGTGCCAGTATCATTCTGGTAGATTTTTGCGTGAATTTGAAAATAAATCCTAATTAAATAGGGGAAAAAAATGTATTTTACCGAACACTATTGAAGTTGATTTGTTAGTCTTACCTTAATAGTTGTGTTGTGTTAAACAGACTGAATGTCATACAGGGATGTAAAATGTCGAATAACAAGGACACTGATCTGAATAGTAGATAAGACAGCTTATAGCTTGTTAAAAAAGCTTGCAGATGCACATCTGATTAAATTATTCCCGACTCACGGGATGGGTAGGATGCTGTAATAACTTTGTCAATCTCTCCTTCCTCCACCTTACTTTTCGTTACGATACACATAACTCACCTTCTGTAATTTTTATCATTTTACTGAGAATGGAATTTTTCGTCACACATGACCCATCTTCTTTACACAGAAATAATTTGATATTTGGTCTTTCACTTTTGTTAAGTTGTACCGTTCAGAAAATTTGACATCCGCTTGTCAGTGTCTTCTCATTTGACAATACTTTGCTTTTTTATTATTTGTAATCAAATTAAAAAGAAAGGGTATGGTGTGTTAGTTCATGAAACACAATCACTGCATGCACATTAAACCTAACACCAAATGGACACTTCTACCAAATCCACGTCTGGGCAAGAGAGAAGATACCAAAAACATACATGACATATGATGGATCTGGAATTACACTATAACAGTTCAATCAGAGAAAGATGACTATAGATTCTAGACTGAAATTTGACAAACCTATACAGACACAAGTCAAGAAAGCAAACAAACTAGTTGGAATTATTATAAGAACATTTAATTATTTAGATTACAAGTATAATTCTTCTGTCTACTATTTAAGGCATTATCCCGTCCTCATCTTGAATATGATGGTAGTGAATGGAACCCGTACAAAAAGAAAGATATAGAGATAATTGTAAACGTCCAACGTAGAGCAACAAAAATGTTACCCAACCTCAAAGATTTGTCATACAAAGAACGATTGAAAAACTCTGAGAATTCCTTCATTGAAATTTGAAAGGCTAAGAGGCGACATGATAAAGACATATAAGATAACAACAGGAGTATATAACCCAAGAGTAAGAGAAGACATATTTACACGTAACACAAGGTCGACAACAAGAGGAAACTCGATGAAATTGGTTAAAATAGAAGGAGACTAGACATAAGGAAATACTTCTTTATGAACCGATAAGTGGAAGTGTGGAATAGCCTACCAGACATCGCAGTGCCTGTAAAGTTCGTAAAGATTTTTGAACATCGTTCAGACAAACATTGGAAAGACCACCTACTAATATTTATAAAATAACTAATCGAAGAATTCAGATAGAGAACAATATTCAACGAGTGACCGAACAACACATTAATTCACTAATTATCAGTGTTGTTCGGTCACGAGTTGAATATTTTTCGATATTTGAATTCTTTGATTAGTTATTCTTTTTATTACATTGGCAAATGGCTTTTTTATGAATATAAAGTAGAAATTGTAAGGAAATATATCTTTTTCTACGCATTCACAATTTGTTTTGATCAGACGTTATCGACGTCTTGACAACGCCTATTGTTGTATGACGTCAGAGGAGTGAAATAACCACGTTTATTTCACATGTGAAATTATAGGTTTTTATTTCACTGGGAAATCAATGTAATTCATTGCAACCAATGTAATAAATGGCTTTAACACTTAATACACATACAACACCAGAAGAAGCACAAGTATAATTAGTGAAGATAAAACAGAGCCAAATATAGAGGAGCAAATTGACCTCCTACGTTTGACAACACTTATGTAGAAATAGGTAGAGGTAGGTAGAGGTATGTAGACACTTTAATTGTTTAACGTATATCTCAAAGTCACAGTAACGCATTCAACAGTAGCAACAAGCCTCACATCACTGCAAGTTCAGATGGTCTCTAACAACAGTATCATTTGTTTAAGGAAATGTTTATTGGAGGTTCAGGGATATGCAAAATAAATAAAATCAGATACATGTATCTTTGAGAAATGTTCACAGCGGTTTGATTTCTCCCCCTTAACATATGAAAAAGTAGATAAGACATAGATATGAGAAGAAAAATAAGTAAGATGCCCCTCTGTTTAGTGGAAGAATTGAATAATTTCTTTTTACGAAAAACAAAATAACAACAAATATGATACATTTAAAGATAAGAAGATGTAGTTCGATTACGAATGAGACAAATCTCCACCAGAGAAGTACATGACATAGAAGTTAAAATATATAAGTCACCGTACGGCAAAACCCATACCGCATAGTCAGCTATAAAAGGCCCCGAATGACACCTGTAAAACAATTTAAACAAGAAAACTATCGGTCTGATTTATGTACAAAACAATGAACGAAAACAAATATGATATACAGCAACAAACGACAACCACTGAATTACAGGCTTCTGACTTGGGACAGGCATCTTAAGAATGTGGCGGAGTTAAACATGTTTTCAGGTGCCCAACCCTCCCTTAATTTGGAACAGTGGTGTAACAACACAACATAAGAACAACATATTTGCATATTTAAGTCAAAATTACTTTAGAAATGAAATGACAGGCCTGGAATTCCTGTATCAAATGTTGTCTATTGCAATTACTTGGCGTGACTTGTAATCTTCTGTAATCATTTCATTTTTCCATCTTCTGTCATCCGTCTCTTATGTAATTGCTGTACCGTCTTTCGATTGTCCGCCCTTTGTCTGTCGTTCGTCCATCTGTTGTCCGATTTAACTTTTTTTAATCCACTGCGCCGATTGATTCTCTTTGACAAAAAATACAATTGCCATCAATACGTACAATAATGCAAAAAATGCAAAGACAAAGACATTTATTCTTCAAACTATACATTTTGTTTTCAAGGTTACAAAAATGATAAGTTTTAAAGGACATGATATAAGTATGAGTGTTTTAAAAGGCAAAGAAAAGCAATTAGGCAATTGTATAATTCAATTGTCCATTCTTTGTCCTTTGTCCGTCGTCTGTCGTCCGTCCCTCCATTGTCTGTTTAAACTTTGACATAAATACGTTCAAAAATGCAATTAATGTAAAGACAAAGACATTAATTCTTAACACTATACATTTTATTTTTCAAAGTTACAAACATGATTTAGTTTTGAATTATAAGCATGACTGTTAAGGCAAGGAAAAGCAATTAGGCAATTGTATAATACAATATTAACTTCTACACCCTTAATACCATATAGTGGAATTTATTGTGTTGAATTAGACATTTACTTTTTTAAATGCATCAATTCTTGCATAAATTAAATTTTTAGAAATAATATGGCATCGGCAAAATCTGAACAAAGGAAAATGATGTCTTGCAGAACCTTGATGGAAATCAAAACTTCAGGAAAGACAACATTAACTGTTCCACCTATTCTGCAATAGAAGAGAATTTCTTCAGTACTTTCTCTGTAGAGATGCTTAAGGCCAAAATATTTAGAAACCAAAACATACTACTATACAAACCATAAAAAGCTAAAAAATAACCTACATATTCGAATTTCTGCAACTGGTATAGGAAATCCTCTTCATTAAACTCTTCAAGGCATTATTGAATTGCATGATCAATTATCACTAATATATTTCAAATAAATACAAATGAATTTGAGGAAAAAATAAACTTTCTGTGTATTCAACACTGCATGAGACATTTGAATTCCGAAGTGATCTTCATCCTTCAATTAGACTCCAAAACCTTATCCAATGCAATTCAGCAAAGCATGCATCATTGATTTTAAAGCTGTATATTCAAGTCAAAGTTATGAACACTCACTTTGCATGGTCAAAAATCATTCGAAATGTTTTTATCATGACTTGATTGTTTTACAAATAAATTATATTTCAGTCAAATTAAAATTACTAATTTGAAGTTTTAAGCAATGCCAAATGAAACTAGTCCGTTAATAAGGAGATGAGGTATGCTTTCCAATTAAAAAACTATATCCTCCAGAAACCAAAGCTCGAAAATTTACACGACTATATATCATCGTACGGCCTTCAACAATGAGCTAAACCCATACCGTATAAAAATATAAAAGGCCGAAGCATGACAAAATGTGACACAATTAAAGAGAACAAAAACGTTGGCATTATTTATGCAAAAAACAGAAATCAAAATTAAATCCAGAACATTGTTATAGCAGCTGAACATAGGAACTAACTGTAAAACATTAGTAGCAAAGGACATGACTTATCAAATCGGCACGTAGCTCCCCAAACAAAAACTCACAAAAAGACGAACGACACAAAGTGCCGATCTAAGAAAAATCGCAGTTACTACAATTTCGTTCCAAGAGGATGAAAACCAATATTTTAAATCAGTCATGTTTCAATAAAAATAAATTCACATATATGTGTACGTGGCGAATGTTGAGCACATGCATGTACTACACAAATATTTACATGAAAGGTGTTGTTCATATAGAAGAATTGTGGCAAATATTTAGTTGGTACTTGCATGTGGTCTTTGTCAGATCCTAAAACTAATTGAAAAATGACCGAAATATATATACTTTTCACAAAACACATATACATTATAACAACCTTTTACAATACGTCATAATTGCATTTATTTGAACATCGTGTATCAAGAACTTCTAGTCCGAATTTCTCAATACCTCAATTTTAAAACAGACATACATTTAAATTTTTAAATCTCAACATGCTAAAGTCGAAGTTAGTAAAACGAAATGCAGCCAAATAAGACCCATATCGCACCCTGTCCTCTGTAGCCAAAATATCGTTTTAGTTACGAACGAAAACGTGTACTACGATATATTCCAGTTCTTGTTTATTTGTAATCATGCATGGTTCAACATAAAAATCATTTTCAGATTCCCAATAATATAATTATATTTAAACAAGGGTTGCAGCTCTCGCACAGGAAAACTTTATCCAAGACGATGTTGGCCCTTATGTAATTGGCGTTCTTAAATGTTTCATTTATTTAGACTAATGTACTTAATAAAGTTCATTCAAGAAATAGACTATTTTCATATTACTGACTTTTGTGTCCATATTATATAATTTTTCGACATGTTACCTTTTCTGTGGTAGGACATCCTGGTACTCGGTCAAGTAAGAGTAACCAAAATAAGTAAAATCAAATATATAATCGGTGTAATTTTAGGGGAAAGTTTACTGTTTTCCGATGATTTTGTCGTGTAAAGAAAATATGCTGTAGTTAATTTTCCCCAAAAATTGTACCGATTGAAAGCTTTATTTTACTTCTTTACGTTGCTTTTACTTTACTTGGTACCAGGATGTCTAACCACAGAGTAGGTAACCTGTCGAAACAAAATAAACTTCGGAATAAAAAAGACGGTAATATAAAAATAGTCTATTGTCATGCACACTGAAATCGGTTTTTATATAGAATCCTAAATTCCAAGGAGGATCTACAGCAAGGACTACAAAAGTACATGTATTAAAATTTCTGGTCCAGTGTCGGTTTCAAGTCGGGAATATCGCCGTTATTTTTGCATCTTTAAAATATTTTGTCTATTAAAGAATATAGTATTGATTGCTCATCTTTTATAGATTCTGTTAGTTTTATCATTTTTTCAATTATCGACGTTTTATCTTGTCAAAGTCTGTATATTGACCTTTTGGTTTATTTTTATAAAGACGCTGGTTTGCTGTCTTAAGGTATAAAACCACTAATTCATAGCCCCATTGCTTTCTATGTTAAATTCTGTAATTTCAAGCATAAATGGCTACTTTGTCTTAAGTTCAAATAAAGTGGCAGTTATTTCATATCAAAACTGTACCTTATGCTGACTTGTGCTGAAAAAATCAACATACCTTTAATTGCATATTAGGGTGTACTGGTTCCCGGAAGTTTGATAGTACAAAAACGGGAACTTCTGATCTGAACAACAGGCCAAATGAGCCCTCCTATTAAAATTTCATATACTTCTTTATTATTCAAATAAAACTTTCAACAAGGGTTTTACAGTGATCCCAAGTCCCCAAGCTTTCATTTGATACTAAAACTACCCAAATATTCCCACTATTGACAAAAATACAGCTATGCGTAGGAACTATTTTGTTTAAAATATGTACTACTTTCTTGTATGTTCTTTCCGACCGGGCCTGAATTAGTGGTTCTATACCTATAACAGCACCAAACGTGTTATATTGACTTCTGCTTGACTTAATTTCCTTCTATGATCTATTTCTAGCATAGAAAAACACATAAAGCTTTTGTCAAAACACTATATCACTGAATTCAAGCTCAAATTGGACTGGCAGTAACATATGTGTTAAACAAAGAAAACAAAATATGGATACTAATAGTGACAGATATGACACTTTTTTATTTTCTACCAGTTCTGATTTGTTAATATCTACACAAATAACAGTGTTCTTACCTATATGTCTTATTTTTATCAGAGATTCTTCCTTGAATATAAATACAGTGGTCCAAACATAAAATATAATTGATAATTTTGTCCCCCCTTTTTTCTACCAGTTGGAAAAGGAGAGTGATTTGGTAAACAAACCATACTTTTATGTATAAACATGGATCAACAAGAGCAATGTATGTATCTCCAAGCTAGACAACTTGCTAAAATGGTTATAAAATGCATTTCAAGTGAGATTTTGGAATTCCTATATAAGTATACACCAATTTTCCTTGAAATAAATAATTCACCAAGAAACACAATAAAACATGAACACTCACTAGATAATTTGACTAAAAACAATATTTATACTATAAACTAGTCATAATATACAAGTTTCATTGGTTTCAGTGTTAGATAATCCAAAAAATTAAATTTCAGGTAAAATCTTAACTGTGTGCATGCTAAATGACCAAAAAAGGCTAAAATACCTTATTGTAGCAATTTGAGGGCTGTAATTTGACACTAACATAATTGTTACATAAAAAAAATAATGTAACATGATTTCTGACAACAAATGTGACCAATTTTCACTGTAAAGGGTATGATTTCTAAAAATAGAATTTCACATGCCTGTCAGTAATAGGTATAAAACCACTAATTCATAGCCCCATTGCTTTCTATGTTAAATTCTGCAATTTTAAGCATAAATGGCTACTTTGTCTTAAGTTCAAATAAAGTGGCAGTTATTTCATATCAAAACTGTACCTTATGCTGACTTGTGCTGAAAAAATCAACATACCTTTAATTGCATATTAGAGTGTACTGGTTCCCGGAAGTTTGATAGTACAAAAACAGGAACTTCTGATCTGAACAACAGGCCAAATGAGCCCTCCTATTAAAATTTCATATACTTCTTTATTATTCAAATAAAACTTTCAACAAGGGTTTTACAGTGATCCCAAGTCCCCAAGTTTCCCACTATTGACAAAAATACAGCTATGCGTAGGAACTATTTTGTTTAAAATATGTACTACTTTCTTGTATGTTCTTTCCGACCGGGCCTGAATTAGTGGTTCTATACCTTAACAATAAATGCTCCAACATTGCCATTCAATCAAAAGTATTAAAATACCAGATTACTCTTCATTGTAAAATTAAATTTAATAAAAAAAAATGTTTCCTCTATATAAACAAAGGATAATGTGTTAAATAATACTCCCCTGAAGCAAACATTAAATATATCATACGTTTTTTAAATTTTAATTTGGCACTATTTTGCAGTAGGGTTCAGTACCATCCATTTGTTATATATGATGAAGGTCTTTTAAGACGCTGTCCATTTAGGTAAAAGGTACGATTTTGTTTCTAAATTTCTGCAGAGAAAGGAAGTGCCAGTATCATTCTGGTAGATTTTTGTGTGAATTTGAAAAACAAATCCCCAAAAGGGAAAAAAAGATCCATTAAAATGTATATTTCAAATTTTAAAAATAGACACACTAATTGTAACTTTGTCTCCATTTGAAATTAACATCACACCTGTTTCCTTGTTAATGGCTATGGCATTATGAGTTTCAATTCTATTGTCGTGATTTAAAATTGTCTGGCATGATTTCCCATCGGGTGAAACTTTGACTATTTTCTGACTTTTCCTGCATGCTACATATATAAAACCGTTTTTATCCAATGCAATTCCTACAGGCTCACTAATATCTTCGTGTGTAAGTGTCCAAAGCAATGCTCCACTACTGTTGTAACAGTAAACCTTGTTCTGCATAAATTTGGTTCCATAAATCAATGAATTCGACCATGAAATATCATGCACGTAAATTCCTTCTAAAAGTTGTTTTGATTCATCGTGAAGCGTCATGACAATGACACCTTCGTTTGTATCCATAGCTACTACAAGAACGTGGCCATCACTTGCAACTCTGTAACAGGCCTTTGGAACATCAATCCTTCTGATGACCTTGCTCTTGTTCATATCAACAAGCGTTACCTGACATGCCTTGTATAAAATAACAGCCACTATATTCTCTTTAACAAAGCACATATTTTCTACTGAGTCTACAAATGTTATCACGTTTCTCATAAATATGCCATCATTTTTAAACATCACCAGACAGTTTGACACTCGATCTAGAAGTATAAAGTTACCATCAGGTAGTATACAACAGCCAACTACACGTAATTTTCGCCCTTTTGGTATCTTCAGAGTGTTCAAGAACGATGGTTTTATTTTATCAATCTTTTGAATAGGAATTAACTGCTGTGCTTGATATTTTCTTCCCGCATCGGCTTTGATATTACAAGGACGAATTTCGATTGATATTTCTCCAAACGATTTGACGTCATTGAGAAATGACTCCAGGGCAGGTGAAAATGCGACATGCAAGTTGTTCTCATTGAAACTACCTTCGCGCATTAGATTTTCTAGGTGATTCCCTTCTTGCGATGTAATTTTCTCAATTTCTCTCAGACCTACATAAATTTGAAGTTCAGTTGCGTATTTCGTCATGTTTAAAAAATCGTCTTGTAATCCTCTAATCTGTTTTGCTCGTTTTTCAACGTCGTGTAAGATAGTATCCATTTGTGATTTTAGCGTGGAATGTTCAGTTTCTAGATCATCAAGAACTTTCTGTTCTAATCTGGTTAGATGTTCATTGACATACTTGCGCATTGACTTTATGTCCTCGATTATTTTTGATTTCTGCTCTGCATTTGTACTAATTCTACTCCTCAAGTATTTTATTTTCTCCTCGCAGTCAACTGTAAGATCCTTGAGATCTTTTTCAAGAAGCGGAACCGAGGCAGATGATTTAACTTGATTTAGAGTGTCGGATAATGGCTTTATGGTTTGACAAGCCTGATGTTTATCAGTGATACAGTGAACACAATATACACATTCATGGATCGAACAATAGAGTTCAAACCTCTTATCGTGGTCTTTACATCGATTGCTCATCCCTTTCATAAAGGCCGGTAACTTATTGTAATTTCCGACCGATATAGTTTTGTGGTCTTTCAATGTTCTTGACTTCTCATGATGGGTCTCGCAATCAACACAAAGGAAGTCTTCGCATTCTGTACACCACGTGACTGCATTACGTGTTGCATCTTTTTCTTTACAAAGAGTACACCACTCCTTATTTTGAGATGTCATTTTACTAAATGATTTCTACAAATATAGAAATATTTGGAAGACTAATACATTTTCATGATCGTTTCATCTATAGTTTTATTAGGCTTTACTAATGAAAACCACGTTCACAACAACTGCTGGTCAAGTGTTGGAATGATATGCAGCCGCAAAGTATGGACAAAGGATTTTTTTCAGGTAATTGAAATATTTTTGTTTTGTTTTTTTGTTTGTTTGCGTTTTGAGGATTTTTTTCTTTGCAATGGTATATTCGTTTTTTTTTTCGACTTATAGTTTTTGATTGTCTAGTTTGTATCTTGTATTTTTACAGCTATTTGAAATAAGTAAACAAATTTAGTCTGATTGTTTTGTTTTATATGTTCAAAAACAAATTGTCAAATACAAGCTGTGATTTTAAAAGAGTATGGAGCTTTAGCTTAACAACAAAATAATTTAGAAGTTATGTAAAATAAGTATTTTATCTGGCATCGAAGTGTATTTGTCTACCCGTGACGAACAGGATTTTTTTTTTTTTTATTAAAAACTTATTTACTGTCTGTGACTACTAAATAAAGTATGTAACAGTGTTGTACCAAAGACTTTTAAAATAAATATTATGTCAAATTGTTTGCTGTTTGATTATCTACCCTTTAAAAAATTACTTCTACCTTTTTGAGACTATAAGATTCACAGTTTGCTATAATTATATTAGAAATTCAAAAGTTAAAATGAAGTATTAAAGAAAATTCATTAACTTAGTAGTAAAATAATAAACATCATACATGCAATAATCATCATTATTATAAAATTACAATCATTCCTAAAATATCTAAATACTCGTATGGTCTATTTTTGTCGGACCTGCGACTTCGTTTCATTGATCAGTGAACAAGGTTAAGTTTTGATGGTCAAGTCCATATCTCAGATACTAGAAGCAATAGGCCTAGCATATTCTGTGTATGGAAGGACTGTAAAGTGTACATGTCCAACTGGCAGGTGTCATCTGACCTTGACCTCATTTTCATGGTTCAGTGGTTATAGTTAAGTTTTTGTGTTTTGGTCTGTTTTTCTTATACTGTATGCAATAGGTCTACTATATTTGTTGTATGGAATGATTGTAAGGTGTACATGTCTAGCTGGCAGGTGTCTTCTGACCTTGACCTCATTTTCATGGTTCTGTGGTCAAAGTTAAGTTTTTGAGTTTTGGTCTTTTTTCTAATACTATATGCAATAGGTCATCTATATTTGGTGTATGGAAATATTTTATGATGTACTTGTCAGTCTTGCAGGTTTTATTTGACCTTGACCTCATTTTCACGGTTCATTGCTCAATATTAAGTTTTTTTGTGTTATGGTCTGTTTTCTAATACTATAAGCAATAGGTCAACTATATTTGTTGTATGGAAGGATTGCAAGCTGTACATGTCTGCCTGGCATGGTTCATCTGACCTTGACCTCATTTTCATGGTTCATTGGTCAATGTTTAATTTTCTTGATTAAGTCTGTATTGTATCTAAGAAACTATAAACAATAGGTCAACTATATTTAGTGTATTGAATGATTGTAAGGTGTACATGTATTTCTTGTTTGGTTTATATGACCTTGACCTCATTTTCTTTGATCATGTTAAGTGTATGTGATAGTTGTAGTAAAGCTTTATATTTAGGACTATCAACATAATATCAATGATTAGTAAAGGAGGCGAGAAATTTCAGCGTGTGCACTCTTGTTGTTATATATATTCTTAATTATAGATACGATTTGTGTGTACAATACGTGTTTTTGGAATAACTTTTGTCAAATGTTTGAACATCTAAAATGTAAAAACGTTGGACAGCTTAAAAAACAAAAGAATTTAGATTAGGAAAGGGTATATCGACTTCATATTGCTTTTATGAATTCTTTCAAAAAGGTCTTCGTTTAGCCAAATTCAACAATGCAGGAATTCCTTCTTTGACAAAACATAAAAGAACAAAAGAAAAACTTTTAATGTAGGATCAATGTTGGCTCAGACAGTTGTCATACTGAAACACTAAATCCAACATTGAACAAGATATGAAATCAAAAATAATTACCAAATGAAAGGACACATTTGCTGAAGCATTAAATTGGTCAAATTGGGTTTTATTCGGAAAAAACTTCCTATTTTAAGTGCTTTTATCTTTAACACATTCTTTATGAACATTTAAATTCTTTCCAAATGAAAACTAAATGTTTTGTGTTTTGTGTATCCAAGGCAGGTGAAGTAAGTCAACTTAAGAGTGATGTGATTAGATGTAAGTGTATAATATATATTTATAATTTATTTATGAATAACTGCAGTGTGTGAATTTACAATATAAATTTTGAAACACAAGGAAATATTTTATTGAGAATTATTCAAAAAGGCTTCAAAATTTTCAACAAGTTTGAATAAATGACGGTGGCCATGGAAACTATAAACAAGCTCCATTGATTATGCCAACAATTGACTTTAATTTTTATAACAGAATAATAGAGTACCAGGTTTTTATTATAAAAATGGATAAATTTAGAAAATGGTTGTATTGTCGCCTTAATTATACTACGGTTTTCCATATAAGGGTGAACTCCGACCATGACTAAAGTTAATACTAGCTGCTACCTTAAACTTAATACAATATAGTTGTAGTAAAACTTAACAACAACATAATATTATAACAAAATGTGAGTAAATCTTACCCTTATAACGCAAATCTGTAGGTGTTTCAATAACGAAATTCGTAGTGGGAAGTTAAATGTCCAATATCTGTGTCATTTACCTTAATATAAACGATTTAAATAATAATTGAATTGCGCATATCTTTTAACATGATAACTAGAAAAGTTATCTGCTAACATACAAAGATCTTGGGATTCTCAAAATTTGATCTTGGAAATACAATGCTAGCTCTAAACATTATGTGTTTCCTCCATTTGTCTTAGTTGTAGATCTTGTCTTTCTGATAATTTTTTTGCTTTTTAATTTTCTATCTATCTGTTATAATTTATAAGATATAAGGCAAAAACGCAAAACATTGTCAAATATCCTCATCAAAGGGCAATTAATCTAATAAGGAGTCGACTGGCGATTTCGACCATCAGACTTATGTGTGGCACTTGTGTTATTGATCATCTTTGCTATTACAGTTTTCAAGATAAAAGGCAACAATCTAAAAAAAAAAAAGTTAAAATCTGTTATTTTAGGGAAATAACTCCTATCAGAAGTCGTCTGATAGTTTTGGCGTATAGGGACAATTGGTAGAGGTCAACAATCTGACCATTTTTGCTACTGTCTGATTTTCTCTATTAATAACGGTTTTCAAAATAATAGACAAAACTTGCATTTTGCCCCTATGTTCTTTTTTTAGCCATATCGGTCATCTTATTTGACAGGCGAGGT